GCCAATAAACATTTTTCCTGACCTGCTCGCAGAATTTATATATTTGAGTTTTTGCACAATATATATATATATATTTATATATATATATAAAATTCAGGGAATATCTGACCATTTCCTTCTTTTACAATTTGCTTATGTATATATAGGATCAGATTGCTCACACAGTGGCTGCTATATTGATATACAAACGCCATTGTATTAGCACAGCTTAGTAACTTACTAAACTGCACATCCTTGGAAAGTGGCTYCACTCAATCTGTGTATTGTATTTTATGGASTATCAAGTGAAAATAGAAAAAGAAGAGACCGGGTTCTTTGAATATTTCGGTTCCTGGTAAGAACACAGAATAATCATCCTAAAAACATTCAGGACACTCATTGTGGAAAATAGTTCTGGAACCATCTCCCCTCGCCCCCGCCCCAGTTTCTCATAGAAGTGAAGGGAATATGATGTTTGTGATTCATTTAAAACAATTTTTTCTGAATTGCTACTTGGTAGACTTCACATATGCAACTGTTTTATGTATATCATTTCCCCTATTTTATATCTTGACCACATATCTCAAAACCAGAAGTTTGTAAACATAATCAATGAATCAACATGAAACAAAACACACTATTCTTTAGCATTTTTTAAGAGGATATGAAGGAGTGRAGGAATTAAAAAAGTATGTATTATATAATGGTTATTGACCTGATTTTGGAGTCAACAGCCTTGGGTTTAATTTCTAGTTCTTGCTCACAGTAGTAACACCAAGTTATTCAGCCTCCTTGTGCCCTAGTTCTAAAGCCAAAGGTTAGTCTAAGGCTAAATGTGAGAATGTATGTAAGATTCTTAGTACAAATGAAAGGATTTCAAGGTTTTTTCAATTGATTGTCTACCAAGCCAGACTGGGTATCCCAACTTTAAAACACTGTGAAAAATATCTGGTAGCCATATTTGAAAGTATAATATACTGAAAATCCTCTTGAAAAAAGTTAACAGATGAATATACGTTGATCTTAAAGTTATATGTGTTTAAGTATAAATTTTATTGACATTACATTTTATAGATCTTCATGATGTCAAGTACTCTATTTGCAAAAAAAATGAATTCTAATTCAAATCAAAGGACTTTACTTATACCTCACTTATAGTTCATTGATTTAWACTTCATTCATTAATAGAMTCTGCAGCAAATGGAGTTAGGGCTGATATGTAAATTCTGATTCTTCTTAAAAAAATGGATAGAAAACAATCCAGACATCTGTAGAGTACATGAAGTTGAACTTTTATTTTGAAAGCTGAATTTCATGTGTAGTGAAAATAGTTTTGAACCATACATAGTCAGAAGCATAATACAAACACCACCTACGATACAAACACATTTCAATAAAGTTCTACCGTGAGTATTAACCTAAGTAAAAAATAAAAATGGAAATTGGGGAGGAACCTGCTCTACGTATTCTCATCTCTTCTGATGATACAATCAAACAATGTAAGATACAAAACAACGTAAGCTTTGGCTCAGCCCTCCTTATTACGCTATAGGAACACTGGGATATGTACTACCACAGATTACAAACCCAATCCCATTATAACCAATTTAAAACTGTTACAAGAATTATATCTTAAAGGCATGTAAACATCTTTAGGGTTTCAATTGGCAATTACGTTTCAGATGCTTAGAAAAACACACCAACATTCTTATTATTGTCTTCTCTTTAGCTCATCTCTTCCATGAATATAAAATAGGAAAAATATTATTTGAGACTTCCAGCATAATTTCATTGTGCTCTACACGCTTATAAACACGGGTACATCTAAAATATCAGATGCCTTTATACCAACAGAATAAATTCACCAAATTCACATTTTCTTATAAATATGCATGCAAAATTAGTGGAAAAAAAACACTTTCATATAGCAAAGACCCTGCTTAATTTTCTTCTGATTAATAATTTTCAATGGCATGTGCAAATCGTACCGCTCAGCGAGCAGTAGATTTATTTTTTTATTGTTTTTCTGTAGAGTTGTTCTTCTATAAAAATATATTTATGTGCTCGCAGGATAAAAGTTGAGTTGGTGTGTGTGTGTGTAGGGGGGTGACTTTTAGATACATAATTCGATTACAGGTTTGTTTATGAAGTTAAAAGGCATCTTAGCTTTTTTATCATTTGCAAATTTATATTCATAAAAAAAGAACACCCTGTGACAAAGATCATTAGCACTTCATAAGTTGAGAGTTTGAAGCGAAGGAGTGTGAAGCCACTTGCCTAAGGTTGATGTGTAAAATCAGAGCTGGAACCCGGAAGAGGAGTAGGATCTACTCGGCCCTTGGACAGCTCGCTAGGAGGCTGTCCCCATCCATGATCCTTAAGATCATATGCACTCGACCACATTAAGGTCACATTGACGGTACACCAGAGACAGTAAAGCCAATTAAGGACAGAATTCTAGGTACTGGCTGCTCTTATTCAGTGGGCATTTTGCAAGTAATTATTGCCTATTAATAACCAACACTGCACATCACAGACTCTGTTACTCGTTTTCTGAAGGAAAAGGAGAAAATCCAGTTTAACCTACTTGATTTTGTTTTTCATTTAAAACTTATTCTGATTCTTACAACACATGAATAATTTCATAACTGAAACCAGGGAAAGTCATGGAATTCCATGCTGAATGTTTCTAGGAAAAGCCAAGTTGTATTGAGAAGAGGCATCAGGTAGGACACAAGACAGACACGATCCAATCTCATTTTTCATGTCTGTCAGTTTTAACCCTCTGAAAATATGATTAGGCACCTTGTTTCTCAGCTGAAGGATGAGAAAGTCTCAGAGTCAATATTTCCATATTTGCATTGACTTCTGACTTAAGATTCTAATATTTCTAAAGGATCGAATTCTCACCTTTGAGACATTATTTCCAATCTGCAAGATCTTCTTAAGACCACTTTTTCAGGGATGACCGAGAAGAGGAATGGAATAATGGCAGAATCGAACTTGAGAGTCCCAGCCTTCACCTGGTCAGGAGCTGAGCATCACACATGCCTCTCAGAAAAATCTAGACATGAGGATATCTCTGATTTCTGTGCCTTAGAAATCAGCTCATGCTAGAGGCTCAAGCTGCAGTGTTGGATGTGAGGACCCTTGCAATCACATGGGTGGGGGGCCGGGATATCCCCCTCGTGAATGTTTATTTCCAGGGGTGTGGTCAATTCCAAGCCCATGAATATGGTTTTGAGTAAGACTTGCATCTTGGGCTTGCAGGACACATGAGGTTAAAASGACAACTATTCCATGCACATGACCTCATCAGCCATTATTAATGTCTCAGGGTTGGGTCCCCAAGAYACATCATGGATCACATAAATCATAGGTTCGGAATTAACAGTACACATTAAATAATCACAGTTCAAAAAAAAAATAAAGCAACATCTGTGAGTCAATTTCTTTTAAATACTTCATCGTTTCAGGGTGAGGTTAAACAGGTTTCTATTAAACGAGAAGTTGAACGCTCAATTTTACAGATAGGTATGAACAGTCCTTCATACCACTTTCTACAACATTTCCATATATTATTTTGAAAAGGACCTACTAGGAGCCCACAAGCCAGGAACTCAATTCCCTGAATTTGCACTGACTTTGACAAGAAGAAATTATAGGGGAAGAAAAAGAAAATCTCACTATAAGTGCATTTAAAATGCGATCTACACAAATCTATGCATAGGAATGTGCACTGTCAATAGTTTTTCTTTGTTGGGGACTGGGCTAGGGGAACACTCAACAACAAAAACTTATTCTGAAAAACAGGAAAACGTTTCCCTCGATATTTATATGAGCTTTGATTTTGAGGCGGTTGGAAAAGCACGCTAAGAGAACAAAATCCAAAGGCTTCATACAAAGTCTTCAGTTCAGGAAGCTCAGGTCACTGGCTGCAGTTTGGAAGAAGGAAGACGGCAATCTAACTCTATACTCTACCTGTACAGACATGCCTGCCCGGGGTTCTTTTTTCCCACTCCAAAATAAAACACATCTATGGTTTTAAATTGTGGAAATACTAACGTAATCTGTACAATGCGTTCATGAAACATATGCCAATGTACCACCACATAAACAAACAAAAAAGGGTCACAGTGACCAACTGGAAGATGATGACATAGAAATGCCTATTAGAATCCAGAACCAGGTACTACACAGGACACCTGTTCTTTGTACAAGGACCTTCTGACCACTGCACCTTTGAAGCTAAAGTTAGTGCCACAAGAAAAAAAGAAAAAGCTAAAAATGAACAAGCAATGAAGATGCTTCTGAATGTTATAACCGATAAAATTTTTTTTCTTAAAAAAATTGAYATTGAAATTAAAACGTTATAACTCTGTTTTAAACATGACCATCTCTGGGGCAAAGAGTTAGGAGCTCAATAAATACTAGTTGCTTTTTTTCACCTAAGACTTTTTTTTTTCCTACTAACATTTAAATAATAAATTCAGACTGTATATATTCAAGGAAGTGTTTTAATAAGATATTCATATTTCTTTTTTTTTTTTTTACATTTTAAATAACCAGTTTGCTTAGGATCTTTTGAACCTGCAAGGAAGCAAAGTCATCCAGACAGTTCTCAGAGACTGAATACCAATGTGTACACAGAGATTAAACCCAAAGGTGGCAAATCAATGCACACAGTGAACAGGAAAAAAATATCAGGCGATGTGGAGTGCTCAAGGGGTGCTTTGGATTCAGAGGAGGTGGATCTAAACCCAGGAACTGTTGTTGTGTTCTGCATTGTGAGCACCTGCAAAGTAAAGCAAAAAAAAAAAAAAATAAGACGTGGCCTGAGGTGTCTGGTGTTCCATCTTTGAAGGCAGTGCTGTTATGATTCTCCACCCATCTGCAGCACGTGGCACTCGGGATGCCAATCTGCAGGCCTGTTTCTATTCCTACGTGAACGTTCTTGCTCCCTTGGACAGATGCACATGGAAGGTTGGGGTGACACGGGACCTCGTTTGCATGGGYGCTGTTTATGCTCGAAGTGGAAACGTGGCGGTGGAGCTTCCATTGCTCTCCACAGATCCCTTCTCCTTGGACCCCGTGTAAGCGCCAATAAACGATCCATCTTCGTTGAAGAGACCGTGGTCTCCCTCTCCGTACTCGACTAAGCTGTCAGCACTTTCTGTGGCTTGCATATCCCGATGGAGGGACCGAAGGCTTCCTTTGAGGGGTTTCTCATCACTGTCACTGAGAAGTAAAAAAAGAAGGGTTCAACAGAATCCAGGACTCATCATAGGCATGGAAAGCAATTCCTTCTCCCTGGTGCCAACAGGCTTTAGGATTCTTCAGGGATTCTTATTAGCATGGGAGACAGGTAGGTACGTGAAGCTCAGAGGACATTTTCACAAATCAGTACTTAAAGAGTCACAAGTGAGCTGCACCTTTCTCAGTCATGGAGAAATGATTTTCTATCACTCTCAACATTTCTGTTTCTCTTAAATTCAGGAGCTTGGGGGGGTGGGTGGGTAGGGGGGCATGTAGAGATTCAACCTGTTGATTGGCAAAAAGGCACTATGGTCTCAAAGTCTGTGAAATAACCAAYGGATAAAAGTTAACAAATTCAGATATGTTAAACTGAAAATAAGAAGAAAAGGTTGGTATTTTTAAAACATAAATGCTGTACGTCTATTAATAGGGTGGGTTTTGCTTTTCAAGAGAAGCAAATTGAATTTAGCAAACTATAGAGTGATACAATTTTCTAAATTTCTGATCAGGATTTTTTAAAAAGTACCAATTAGTTTTATAAAGACACACATCAAATAAAATTAATTTATAAAACCTGAAAAAGCATTGATTCAGAAAAAAAATCTAATTTAAACCTGTAGATTTATGATGTGTGTATACGCCAGTGCTATTCATCAAATATCTAACCTCAGCCTTCTGGGAACATGGTATGGTCRTACTTCCTGTCCACACAGAGTTCTTCATCTCCACATATAACTTGCTTTGGCCAAAGAAAACTAAGCAAAGTTGGCCTGTGTCACTTTCAAGAGGGAAATGTGGAGCCAGGTCTCCATTTCCCKGGTTCTGTTTACACTGCTGTGTGGACCCTGGATCCTCATCCAGCCCTGATGCTCCTAAGTGACCAGGAGTAAGCCGGGCTTACTTTAGGTTGCAGATGAGGGATCCCCGGAAACACTCTTGTGGCAATGCAGGAATATTCAGAGGTGACATGATTAGATTACGAGAGCTATAATCTCATCAGTGGATTAATCCATTCGATGGCTTAATAATTTAATGTACTAGCGGGTGGTAACTGTAGACAGTTGGGGAGTAGCTGGAGGAAGTAGGTCACTGGGGTGTGCTCTGTTTCCCCTCTCCCCGGCCAGTACTAGGCATTGGACCCAGGATTGCTTTACCACTGAATCACACCCCCACCATTTTTGGGTTTTTTATTTGGATACAAGATCTTACCAGGTTGGCTTTGAACTTGCAATCCTTCTTAGTCGCCCAGTTGATGGGATTACAGGCATGCATCACCACACCTGGCTGAAAAGGAATCTCAACACATCCTGGAGAGCCCCCTACTTTATACTTCATTTCTTGCTCTTTCTCCCATGTATGGCACCCTTATATATCATTGTATGTTTGGCTGTGCTCTGCCCAGCAGCTACAGCAACACAATCTTCTCATCCTTTATGGCCTACCTTATCTCTTTTGGATATTTCTTTCTGCAGAATCCACCCAGGCAGAAATCCCTTCCCTTTTGTGTAACTACTTAATTTCAGTTATTTGCATCTATAAGTATCTTCCCCTCACAGACTTGTGTCACCTAGAGGGCTGGGTTTGTAACCTATTTACCTTTGTAGGTACATGGAAGGTATACGCATGTGTCTGTGGATACAAGAGTGAATGTGACCGAGGTTCACTGTGGCCACGCTAAAGAGTGATTTTAAGATATTTGATCCACTCCAAGCAGACATTCCAGCTAAGTAACAACAGTGTCCTTGTATCACAAGCCCTTTTTTGCACCTTTAGTATACCTGATGAATATGTGCATTTTGAAAAGGAAGGTTACCATTTACCTGTATTCACCAAAAGTTTCATCTTTCACGGACTGGACTTCTGGATCCGGATGTAAGTCCTCTTTTTCTTTCACTGAAAAAAAAAAAAAAAAAAGTAAGGATGTGGATAATGCAAAAATTTGCTCACGACACTTTGGCAGTGCAGTTGAAAGGCAGTGAATCAAAAACAACAGCATAATTTCAGATTTTCCTGAAACCAGTGATAAGAAAGAAAAGGAATTATCTGGGTTATATGTAGTTTTCATTATGCCGTCAGTATGCTGCCAGTCTTCATGAGACTACTTGATATTATATTGTCCTCACATCTTGAAAGAGTCACTTTATACTGGCCCCTTGATGAAGACCAAATTAGTTAATATTCATTTTACTATCCAAACATTTTCAAGATGCCCTATCAGATCTGTCATGAAACTAACATGTATAAAAGAAATCAATCATTTAATTACTCTGTATCACTGTCTTACTAAAATTGCCTCAATGACAAATTATCAAGGGCTACTGCAACATTTTGAAATTTAGATTTATTTCCAACAGTGGGATACAAGTCATGGTTTCCCTTTTCTTGGAAATAGGAAATAAACCGTCCTCCTTTTTGGCACTTAGTACCAGTACTGTCCAGACGATTCTCTTAGTTTTCATTCAATTTGAAAAGATGGATTGTCTTTTTTTTTTTTTAAGGGCATGATTTGAGGAAGTTCTTTAAAAATAGATGAGTCCGCACTTCACTAATAGTTTTTTGTTGAGGCTACCCAAAGAGGAATGCTAAATCTCTTTAAAAGTTTCCAATGAGAGATGTAGAATATTCATGAGCCATCACGAATATAATTCATAATTGAAAGAAAAACCTGAGATGCATAACTTCACAAATTATCCATGGAATTTAAAAAAAATGGAGAAAATTGTGCCCTAGATGGTTCTATGTATATGATGGATTCCCAATAAACATTTGCTGGAGGAACCACTTGCTAATAACAAATAGTTGTGGGATCTAAACCTTCCCTCCTATAAAAAGCAGGATGAATTCTAAGTAAAATTATTTATGATAATACATATATCAGAAAAAAGACAAAATAAGTTTGAAAGGTGAATGCAATTAAAATAAAAGCAAACATTATAGAAAAAAAAGAATGCTTTTTATTTATATGGAATATACCATTAATTCAAGAGGTGGGGTACCCAATAGATGTCATGGTAAATAGCACCACAGTGTTATGCATGCATGGCCAAGGCAATGCAATAGTTAACTCGGGCAAGATGGAGTAGAGGAGCCAGTGCTCCGGAAGGCACTAGAACAAAAATGTCAGATTCATGTATGTATAATGAACCCCACTTTTATGTAATATTATGATGCACTAATAAAAATTAAATTAAAAAACAAAAAGCACCTGTGTCATTTATGAATACATTTCCTTAATATCTCAGATATTCTATGGATAGAAAATAAAAGCGTGGAACTATTATGTGCCTTGTTRGAGCCTGTTTTAAATACTAGAAACTAGAAAACAAGCAACTACTTAGAGATAATAGGATAGACYGCACATATTCTCTTTAGTTGGTTCATTCAGCAATATTCTCCCTCTAGTATATTTACGGAATTTGCTTAAGTTTCACTTTGATGTGCAATATAAAATAATAAATTAATAATAATTCTGAAGAATGCATCCCAGAAAACACCRTTTGTTAAAAATCACTCAGGGAAGAAACAGTCTTACCTGAATACTTCCCACCTTTATTCCTCTTCACAAAGCAAACAGTTAACAGAATCAGTGTGAGAAGAGCGATTGCACACATCAATCCGATAAACCAGCCTTGGGTGGAGATGTCATCATACAACCCGGCATATTCTGTCGTACGAAAAGAAGTCACAACACTGAACGCTAGGAACAGTCATGTACACATCACATCACTTTGGGGGAAAGTCAGAAATTATTTTTTAAACAACCAAAATGASATCGATATTATCTTTCCTTGGAATGATCCCAGAAGAAAAGTGATCTGAGGTCTTTCCTTGGTGGGGTGGTGGGAGGCACTAAGGAATCATTCCATATTTATTAAGAAAGGGCCTTTGATAATAAGTTGCTTTGATTAGGAGGAAAACCAGAGAGGACAGTGGAGGCAGGTGACCTTCAGTAGGCAAGAAGCAGAGGGGCAAAGAAAGCAGGAGCTGACTTGGTTATGAGCACAACGCCATGGAGCCTCTGGGAGTTGGGGCTGGGTTCTTGTTTTCCTTTTAGTTTTCGTTATTAACATGCGTTAATGAGCAGGAGGCATTTTTAAGCAACAACTCTGGTAGAAAACGTAGGGATCAACTGAACGAGTGTGGGGTGTTTTTCGTTTGGAAGATTTTAAGATGCGGTGGCAATAAAAATGGACATGATGCCCTTCGCAACGAAGGCACTCTCTGGTTTTGTCTTTCATGGGAAATGTAAAATGAATTCACAGGAAGGACACAGAGGGACGGCCTAAGACTACCCCAAACAGAAGCTCGTTTCTCACCTCTCCCTCTTGTCTCAATTACATCTTGAAAAATACTATCGTTATCACCCCAATTCTTAGTCATGAGGTGAACTATATGTTCCGCTCCCGGCTCAAATACCTCTACGGGGTGAATCTTTTGAGTAAGATTTACTCCTTCTGCCATCTTCCTGACACCTTCACCTGAGAAAGGTACACAGTGAAATCATATAAATTATGTCACCACTGAAAGGCAGGATATGACAGGTAAAAAAAAAAAAAAAAAATTCTGTTATTTGAGATTGAAAAAAAAAATCAAGCCATTTTAGCATTTCGTTTTCTTAAATAGGTCTTGGATAATGGAATGAATGAGAATATCAACATTTCAAGACTTGTGTTTTTTTTTTTTAATATGCTGAAATGAATAAATGAAATGAGTTTGATTCATGGGCTCTTGAGATGATAGGTTGTGGATGGAATGGTCTATAAATCTGCCCGGTCATGTGAGTGGTTCAAAACCAAACACAGACTTCAAAGAAGTTATATTCTGTGATGTGCAATTTTGGATTTCCATAGACCTAGTGGGGAAATGACAAAGGCCTGTTTGACTTATAATTGACAGCATATGGCATTATGATTTTACTTAAATATATTTAAAATAACTAAATATTAAATCACTACATTATGTACGTACATATAGATATATGCACATGCATATACACCTATAGATACATACATATTGTTTTTGACTGGATCTTGTCTATAAATACTGATGGAATAGCATCATAATATGGTTATATATTAAATATTTGAAATTAGTGGAAATTTAAGCTACATAAAGTGCAGGTTTATAGGAACATTTAAATGGAATGGTTTCACTGACATTTTTGAAAGTGGTATGAGAAATTAATAATTTTCCAAAAAGAATTATCGAGATGTCAATACATTGATGGTAGAACCTCAGAGTAACAGATGAAAATGAGTCAAGTTTTATTAAATTTCATAAATTTCATTTCAAGTTTCATTAAATTTCATTTAAAGTTTCATTAAATACATAAAATTTCTGATCTTGCAACCAAATATGCAAACTATTTTTGCATTTAATATATAGTTTTGCTAGGAATCAACTCAATTTTATAAATGCAAACCTGAAAATGATATAACAATTTATACATGAAATAAAGTGTTTCTTATTTAGAATATAAGGACTTATGAAAACTCTGTCTCAAATGGGTATATTTTACCTTCCATATTTGGTTAAAACTTCACTATAGAATACAAATTGCTTATATAGTTAATGAACAACTGAAAGCCTTTATTTAAAGTGGCACCCTGGACAACATAAGGTCAGTTATATAGCTGAGCAAAGCCTGTAGGATTAATCAACGTTGAAATAGAATGCAATCAATTTTGAGCCTGGGAAAAAAAAAGAAATATTAGTATAATGTTAAGTAGTTCAAACTTTTGAAAAATTAGAGAAAAGCATATGATTTATTGAAACAACTAATAATATTTCTAATTAACTTCATTTTTTTCCCCTCTCTCAGATTATGGAATGGGAGTCACCCGAAAATTGGAACGAATACCAGAGGACTTTTTTTTTAAATGCATGTCTATTGCATAACACAGTATAAATAAGCACCAAACCATCTTAAAATGGGCTATGCAGGCAGAGCAAGAAGAAGACAGACATGCAGTAGTAGATTCCAATTTGCACAAAAGGTATCATTTTTGCAGTATCTAATGATGCCAAGATGCATCTCCTCGGCAGAAATATACTTTTTTTTTTTTTCAAAGATCATGTTGAAACCCAGTGTGTGTGGGGCGGGGAAGGATAAGACATATGGCAAGACATATCTACAGAAGAGAAATCAGTGTCAACTGAGGAAGGGAACAGTAGCTGGTAATTGAAAATGAAGATTCCTGAAAAAGAGCACAAACATCCTAGTAAGGAACATTTTTATATTATYGACACAAAAGACAGTGAAGAAATCTGCTTTAAGATACTAGAGAACATTAGTGATATCTTTAGTTCGAAGAGAGATGATGTAGCACTGGTTAAAATCACACACGTGGCATTTCCACCCTCCACACCCCAATTTGTCAAGCATGAATGCAACCCAGCCCCAAATCTTCAACCTACATGCTAGAATGTGCAACACTGGTGAGGCAGTTGTGTGATTTTTTTTTTCCTTTTATGCTGCAAATTGGCAAGAATCAGACTAGCATTTCCCATGAATCTCATGTTCCTGTTTCTATCCAACAACCATTTCTGTGCCTTCAAACCTGTTGTTAAAAATAACGTAATTTATTTGGATATATTTAGATGATGTATTTAGGTGACGACTTCTCATCTCTGAATGGAACCCTGGATGCCAGTTTGAATCCCTAACAAATAAGATCCTTTAGTCACTAGAAAGTGTCCAGCCACCCTCTTGAAGCTAGTTTAAATTTTATGAGAAGATAAATCAGTTTATTGCACTCAGTGTTCAATTCTCCCTTGGAAATAGTTTTTGGATGCCTTTGTGGGTTATCTGAATGTATCTTCTTCCTATTTAAGGGAGTTTTAAGTGTTTAAGGATTTGGAAGAACATAAAAATTTTGTTAACAAGATAAAGTAGAAGCCGGGTGTGGTGGTGCACACCTTTAATCCCAGCAGCACGGGAGGCTGAGACAGGAGGATGGTGAGTTCAAAGCCAGCTTCAACAACAGTGAGGTGCTAAGCAACTCAGTGAGACCCTGTCTCTGAATTAAATACAAAATAGAGCTGGGTATATGGCTCAGTGGTTGAGTGCCCCTGAGTTCAATCCCCATTACCAAAAAGAAAACAAAGAAGATCAAGTAGAAACAAGAAGAGGTAGAGACACACTGATTTATGGTGACTCACAAACTCATGTCTATTTAAAATCTCTCTTTAATAAATGATAGATAATTTAATGTTCTTCTTTACTGTTTTCTCCTCTTGGTATTTCTTCCCCCTGAATCTGTTGTTTTTCTAAATTACAATTTGGAAAAGCATTTACAACAGAACGATATTTGCCATTTGCTACGTGGTAAAAAATGCATCTATTTCCCTTCCCCAACACCCACTGCTTCTTTTTCCACCAAATCCCCCCCTTCCTGACCAGCCTGAACCCTTCAGAAGTCCTTCTTAACTTCTTAGTGAATTACACCAGTTCCTCTGATGCTTTTCCCTTCACTCTGCCAGCTTATTTCTCTGCTGGTGCCTCTGGATATTAAAAAAAAAAAAAAAAAATTTAGGAAGAACACTGCTAACATCATAACTGGAGAAATAATTCAGGAAGGAAAATGTGGTTATAAGATAGGAATGAAAAGAAAAGTCTACTTGAATTAGGAGAATTGAACTGCAAGTGAAATCATAATTGGTGAGCCACTTTCCATTCAGGTAGTTGGTATCAACCACCAGATAGTACAACAAAAGAGACATCTAAATCTAGGCATGATATGAATCCAGGTCTGGAAATAAGATACATTATCGCTGTGTGGCAAAAATGCCTATTGAGGCAAAAGGCAAATATTATTCTTTATGGATTCATGACTCAAAGAAAAAATATCCCTCCACCAACTTTGTGAATGACATTATGACCTCGTGTCTCCTACTTTAATTAAGAAGAATTATGGTTCCTGGCCTTAGTGTAGCCTTGGCTGGGGTCTGATTGCTGCTGTTCATAACTCATCCGTGTGAACTTTGCCAACAGTGTTAGTAAATTCCGTATCTATGCTCACGGCAAACAGAAGGTCAGATGGATTTGGACTGCCATCTTTCCTCATCTCCCGTGAGTGCATGGTGCATTTCTTCCTTAGGACCACGGGTGTGTCGAGACACAAGGTGCAGAAGGCTGGGGTACTTACTCCCTTCTCCCAAGGTGGCGCTCTCCTCCGTGATGGGCTTCCCACAGCCTTTGGAGGTGCAAGCTCTCAAGTAGAACTTGTACTTGGTGGTTGCATTGAGGTTTGAGAGACGCCAGCTGGGTTTGGTTGGAGTTGAAATGTTGACAGCGTTTAATTCTCCAATCTCATAGGTGTCATTGACTAGAGGAATAAAYGGACATAATGATGCCTCAGATTTCACATGACTCAAGTGACACCACCCCTTAGTTTTGCTTATACATAGGCCTGTGTTGCACAAGGAATTATTTTAATTATTCATAACTATCGACTCATCCAATCTTAGGGTATAGACGGGATTACTGATGACTCAGGCATCGGGGGATGACTGAGATTGATCAAGAATAAACACTTTGCCCAGATCTAGAGTCCGTAATTGGCAAACTGAGATTTGCATAAACCATCATCGTTTGACCCCCAGAGATTGCATTCCTAATCGCTATGCCATATTGGAGCCAGCCACCTTCATCGTACTCATTAAAAATGATGGACTTTCCCCCATTATTTTCATTGTATCCTTGACTTAAGTACTTTTAATCTTCTCCTGGAGGGACAATTTAGACAATGATGATATGGTCCCTAGTTTAATGTGTGTCAGTAAATAAGTACGTATGTTCCTTGAATTACAATGAAGTGACATATACCCCCAGGTAAGTGTTGTCGGTAAGCCTCAATTCCTGCTTCCGTGGAATAYTGACAGTACTGATCTTAGTTGTTTTTTTTTTTTTTTCTTAATAAAATAATGCAGAGAGTGTATTTGGTAATGATCTTGCTACACAGCAAGCATTCAAAAATGCTAAAAAATGCTACTTCCATTTGAATCTGGCTTACAAGTAGCTAAATACATGCACCCAACTCTGCAGAAGTCATCGCTGCAAAAGCTGCAAGATCTTTAAGTGATGCATGAGTAGCACATCGGGCTGGCTTTCCTAAACCTGTTAGACTGGATTTCTTCTCGGTTTTTTTTTTTTTAACCATACAGGATTTCACACCCTCAAATTCTAAAATCCTCATTGTTAGGCTACTGCGTAAGTTTTCTGTGGTCTGAGCCCCAGATTTTCCATTTAACTTGATGCTTAGATGAGAAGATTGTTATAGCAAGGATGTCCTACCATTTCAAAATGATCTAATTTTGCTTAAACATTTTCAATCTCATGGCACAGGAGCATATGGGCAGATTATTTTCTGAGTTATGATCAAAGACAACACTTTGGTCCTCTCCGTGTTACCTGAACCAGAGTGATGGAGATACAGGCTTCTGCACACACAAGTATGTTTAGAGTTGAGACCAGAACCATGTATTCCAGGCAGATGAGACAGTGCAGTATGAGAGTCACGGTGCTTTTAATCTTCTTCTTTTTTAATTTTTTAAAAATTTTTTTAGTTGTCAAGATGGACCTTTATTTTATTTATTTATATGCAGTGCTGAGAATCGAACCCGGTGCCTCATGCATGCTAGGCAAGTGCTCTGCCACTGAACTACAACCACAGCCCCTCAAATCTTCTTTATGTTGCATACTAACTCTGTTCCTGATCAAGTTTCTTAATTCCCAAGGCCTCTTCTTTACAAGTTGTAATGAATAGTAAACATAKGTTTTCTGGCACCCACTGACACATTATTATTCTTCTGGAACTGAGGTCTACAAACTTTTTATACCGAGAGATAGACCATAAATATTTTAGACTCTGGAGGACCAGGAATCCTCTGTGGCAACAACTCCCGTTGGCCAATCTAGTGAGAACACAGCTCCAGGCAATATATAAATAAGAGGACATGGTCATGGTTGTGTTCCAATAAAACTTTAATTATAAAAACAGGTCGGGGCTGAAATGTTCCTGCAAGTGACTTTACAGACCTGGGTGCTATAAAGGAAGTATTGCAGCCTCCAAAACATAGACTTAGGTAATCGTTAGATCTTTAATACAGCATGCCAACTCCTCCTGTTAAAAAGTGACCTACAAGCAAGTGAACCCTGAAGCAAATTGCTACTTACTTATCTGGTATTGTAACAGATAGCCAGTTAAGTTTCCATTTAGTTTCTTAGGTAGTCCCCAGGATAAAGTGGCAGTGTCTTTATCAACTTTGATGACTTTGAGAAAAGCTGGTTGTTCGGGCACTAGAAAACACAAGATCATAAACAAGTGGTAAGTTCCTAATAAGCCCTATTAGATTACAAAGTATTAGAGAAATTGAGGAGTTAACTCAAACAAGTGTGTATTAACTATTAATAGGGGAGGCCATGTTTAATAAGGCCACTGGGCAATTCCCATTGTTAAAGCTATTATTCTCCTTGGTTCTTTTCTTTTTAATTTTCTTTTAATTTTTTTAGTTGTAGGTGGACACAATACCTTTATTTTATTTATTTATATTTATGTGGTGCTGAGGATCAAACCCCATGCCTTACGCATGCCAGGCAAGTGCTCTACCACTGAGCCACAACCCCAACCCCTACCTTGGTTATTTTCTTACCTCCTTCTGGCGTTTGAAATATATAAGGCTCACTCTCGGGCCCAGCACCTTTGGAATTATAGGCTAAGACGGTCAAGTGAAATTCACTGAAGGGATCTAGGGAAGGGACCATTCCATAGTTTCTTTGTCCTGAAAATCTTAGAATGTTTACTTCCTTGGGATGCACTCTTCCATCCAACAGACTCTTTGTTTTCCACCAATTTATCTGCAATGAAAACATGAGCCTTTTCACCTATCCATCACACATCAACCACAATGGTAGATTCTCTCTTGGCTTCCTCCAAAATTAGCTCACATGGCTCAGGAGAGACCCAAACAGAACAATAAGAAATGGGGTGATAAAGACCTGGTATCCTTTCAGATGTCCGTGCACCCTGTCCTTGGGGATTGTTGACCAGCCAACTTTCACCAACGTGCTGTTTATAACGTCCACCCCATGGATCACTGGCGCGGTGTCAGGATCTGTTAAGCACAGAAGGTTGATGAGCTTCTTTAACCACCTCTAAACCCAAAGATGACAATCCTTCCCTAGAGGTGATTCTCATACTGCTTGATCTAGGGACAAGACTTTTGTGAAATTAAATCTGAATGGAAACCAGATTTCCTCGTTACAGAGGAGTTCCTCAGCCCAAATGGGTTCCTAGAAGAGAATGTCCCATACAAAACTAAGAAATGAGGCTCTCTGGAGGTTTATCACGGGGGCAAATGTAAAGGGAATTTAAAACAACATACCGTGAAGCATCCTGTGGCCATCTTGTCTTTTAAAGCAAATGAACTACACCAGCAATACAAAATACGACTTTGGGAATTCGTTTAATCAAATATTAAAAGCAAAAGCACTCATGGAACACATGCTATATGTCAGGCACGTTTCATAGGGTTATTCTAAAGATTAAATTAGCCAACCCATGTAATCCTTAGAGTAACCTTATGAGATTGCTCTCATTATCCTCTTCTACAGGAAAGATTAATAACAAGGAATAAACCCAAGACATGCATCCGGGGCTAACAGGTCCTAAGTGCTGTGTTCTACTCTATTTGAGTAGAAAAATCCAAACATCAAGTGATGCTGAAAGGAATAATCAAAATAACTCCCCATTTGGAATGATGTGGAACACAGAGACTTCTCTTTTTCTAGTCATGCTTGCAGCAGTTCAAATGCTATTAGCAATTAGAAATATGATCATATCACCAGCGCTTCCTAACTGCTGAGTGTGAGCATGAGTGTGTGTGTGTGTACAATTCTATATACAGATCTGGGTCTGTGCCTTATTTGTAATAAGAAGTCTCCGGACAGGCAGGTGAGGTTCATGGCTCGGCAGCAGATCTGTTGGGAAGTCCTTCAAAACGAAGGGCAAAGCTAACTGCAGACTTTTAAAAGTTCAGGACAGTTTTATTGCTCAACTGAGCTCAGTGATAATTTCAGGTCTTCGATTTTCAAAATAAAGAGAGGACGTTTTTCTAGAAAAACAAAGAGGAAACATCCCAAGTACTTCTTCAGCACCCTGTATTGATCAACCATCCTGCACGCAACCTGAAAGTTATTTCTTTTACCTTTTCCAGCTCGTATATTCTCTTTGCATGCAGTAGGTGCTCAAAAATGCTTGTGCACATAAATGCACTATGCTCAGGAAAAACTGTTCCTGAGTGCTAAGGGGTTTTCGGGTACAACACTTACAGTCTTCTCCAGAATACAGGGTCACTGACTGCGGCTCAGGTGCAGCACCAAGCTGATTGACGGCTTGAACTTGAACGTCATAAGGTGCATAGACGGTAGCTGTCATCACCCGCAACGTGTGGTTTGTGACCGTTTCCTCTTCCCACTCCTCTGAGGTTCCCTTGGGCTTCCAGGACACTCTGTACTCCAAGCCTGGCCCATTCTGCTCCATGGACTTCAAAGGCTAAAATAGAAGCCAAAACACATTCAATGAATAGGTCAAGAAAAGGTACCCATACAGGATGGAGTTCTACATGGCCCTGAAGAAGAATGGCATTCTGTCACTCAAAGGTGAAGAGGTGGAACTGGAGAACATCATGTTGAATGAAATGAGTCCCAAGCAGAGAGTCAAGGGTTAGAAGCTAGAGAGAAAAATGGAAAAGGGGAATTTCATGGCAGTAGTGTACCCCTGCCTGTAAATCCCAGCGGCTTGGGAGGCTGAGGCAGGAGGATCCCAAGTTCAAAGCCAGCCTCAGCTAAAGCAAGATACTAAGCCATTCAGTGAGACACTGTCTCTAAATAAAACATAAAATAAGGCTGGGAAGGGGGTTCAGTGGTTGAGTGTTTCTGAGTTGAATTCCCGGTAACAAGAAAAAAAAAAAAATAGATGAGAGACCAGTAGGAATAGGGTAAAGAAAGAGGGTCAAGGCAGGGAGGAGGGCAAGGAGAAATATTGGGGAATAAAACTGACCAAAGTATGTTAGGTGCACGTACCAATATGCCACAGTGAACTCTCTATTACACATGATTGTCTTGTACCAATAAAAAGAAAAACCACATTGGATGTCATCATAGACATGTTGATCCAGAGACAGTGATGAGCCATCCATCCTAMGTGGTATAAGAAATGCTACAAGAGAGGATCACTTTTTTTTTTTTTTTTTTTGGAGATCTTAAATACTCTTCTTTGGGTCAGAACAGTTGTAAAATATTGCTGTTATTTGCTTGCAAATCAGTTCTGTGCCTTCCTAAGTAATGGGAAGCCCACAGTTGAGATGCCTGAATTATGTTCCTTTGGTTAAATCTTAAGTTTTCATCTAGAAAACAGTTTACAAATACATTCCACAGAAAGTTTTAGCTGGTACAGGAACTTTCCATTATATATATTATATTATCGCTCCAATGTAATTTGCAGAAATGAAAAAGAGGTAGCCACGGATTCTTGAGTCATGAGTGGAATGTCCATAGCTTTCCAAGGGGAGCTCTCCTCCACAGGATTCCACTAATCTCATGCTCCATCTTTCTTCCATGACAGAAGAGAGACAATCTAACATTCATTCTAGAAAATAATCATATTTATACCCCAGAGCCCCGTAGCAGTAGTTCCTCTTTATACATTAATCATTCCACAGCTTCTTAACTATTCTGTTTTGGATTCTTTAAGAGCATGTGCCTCTCTCATCCACTTTATTTTACTGTATACAAGTGTTTGGTGGAGAAACTTCTAACACAAGAAATTGATTATTCCCACCCTAGCTTTTAATTAAGCAATACTTTAATTTAAAAACACATTAATGTGATGTAAGCCACTTATTTAATTTCACAGAATGGGAATTTTATTTAAGCGATTCAGTTGTACGAAATGCATTTAAAATACAATTTTAATCCTAGATATAAAGTTCACTTACATTAACAGTAATTTCATTTTATATGTGGGTGATTCAATAATACCATATATAATGTTCTCGCAGAATTTGTAATGGTTTTTTTTATTCCATCTAATTTACTAAAATACTTATTAGAAGCATTAGTTAGAATTAAGTTGAAAGTATCATGCTATTTCAGCAAATAATTTTAAGTTGTATGCCTATTCCAAGGTGAATACTTAAATTTTCTGTGAGCAAAAAAAAAAAAAAGAAATCAAAGCAAAACAAAAAAAACTTTCTGAGCAATTCCACAATCATTGTTAAGACTTGCATTTACTGAAAAGCTTTACTCCAAGACATTTTTAATACAAGCCGGATATAAATTCACCAGGGACTTTAGCGCCGTAGAAATGAATCAGCTATTAGCTCCACAGAGCAATCCAGAATTATAATTTCCTTCAGCCCCTCCTGACAATAAATGTGCACAGATAACATTATTCAATTTATATGCGCTTTGCTYCAAGGACAAGAAGTAAATTTAATAAATTTCTCTAACAAATTTTAAAATAAACTGGATAAGTGTTCAGAAGAATCTTTTAGCTATGCTGACAGGTTCTTGGCTGACCAGACTTTCTGAAGAAGCAGCAGGGTGCTTCKTATTTGGCTTTAAAATAAGAATATTCTCAAATAAGCTCCCCAAAAGAGAACAGCAGAAGAACTGGAGTAGAGATACAAGGCTTGCTGTTACGGATTAGATGTGGTGTCCCCCAAAGCTCACATGGGAGACAATGCAAGGTTTGGAGGAGAAATGATTGGGTGATAGCCTTAGCCTCATCAGTGAGTTAATCCCTGATGTAATTAACTGAAGTGATGGCTGCAGGAGGTGGGCATTGGGGTGTGGTTTGGGGGTATATATTTATGTCTGGTGAGTAGAGTCTCTCTCTGCTTCCTGATCACCGCCATGTCAGCTGCTTTCCTCTGCCACACTCTTCCTCCATGATGTTCCTGTCTCACCTCAAGCCCTGATGAATGGACCTGGCCTTCTATGGACCAAGACCCCTGAAACCTTGAGCCCTCAAATAAACTTTTCCTCCTCTAAAAAAAATTGTTCTGGTCAGATTGTTTAGTCACATCAGTGAAAAAGCTGAGAAAAACACTTCACTTCTCTGTACTGTGTTGCCCATGAGGAAGAAGTCTCCAGAAGTCAATGATAATTAGCAAGAGTCTTCMTGGACAATTGGATAAAAAAAGGGAGTCTACACTGCTAACATGTTTTCAAAGAAACCATGAACCAATCAAGGTTTTAAYGCTCTACCTAGAAACTAGACTGATGGCCACACTGCCTTAATTCTATTTTTTAAAAAAAAGTTTGAACATTTTCATTTATTTTTAATTGACAAAAAWTTTATTTATTTTATACAAGATGTCGTTTTAAGAAAGGCACACATTGTAGAAAAGGTAAATTGGGCTAGTTAGTGTATCTCACAAATATACCTCAAATTATTATATAAAACATATCTCAATAATATCAGATTTTTGCAGTGGGAACACTTTTTACAATCTATTCTCATAGCAATTTTCAAGAATACATTTTTCTAACTGGAGTCACCAGATCATCTGACTGGAGTCTACTAATTGCATGTTAAAGCAGGTGGATCATTTTATTACACTTTCAGCAGAAATAGTTAACCTCAGGTCCTTCAGGAGCTACACAAGCTGACTATGCTCACAAAACCAGTAGATGAAGAAGCTATACTTTCCATTATTGGTAGAAAGTTTGGTAATTGGTTGGTTGGTTGGTTGGTTTGGGGGGTATTTTGAAATGAGATATTTGTTATTTATTGAAAGAAGTTGAAAAATTCATACGAATAAAATAATGCTCATGAATAGTTGGGAACTGCCAAGTAAAAATTATTCTGATCTATGTAACTAACTAAGCTATAGAGAAAAATGCCATTATATGTTAACACTTAAAYAATACAGGTGAGTCATGGTCTACTTAATACATGAAAAGTAGACTTGGGAAGGTAATGCCAACTAAGAAAACTAATTCTAGCATTAAATTAAAATTTAATATTTACTCAAATTGAATTCTATTTAATCCCAAAACAAACTGAGATTAAGGGCACCTTTTTCACTGCTCATCTGTTAATCCTCTTATGAAAGATGAACTTTCCAAAAAAATTGTGTCTCCTTGATCATTTGCAGCTAGGAATAATTTTGTGAGTCAGTTGCTAGGGGAGGGGTCAGGTAACTCCATACAGTATCTGCCTGTCCACCCAGGCATCTACCTTCTTTCTAACAACTTCACAGATGATTCATGCAAAACAAAACAAAACAAAAAACCAAATCTCAATGAATGAATGTTCTTCCACATGGCTGGCTGTGTCAGTAGTGATCAGAACTGTGATACTTCACAATAACATGAAACACAGTTACACACACATAAGTGTAACTGTCAGTCTAGTTCCAAATCCCTGTGTCTACTTTCTAGCTCCAGTCACTTAATTCACATGGGATTTGCTCTTCAAAGACAAACTATAAAACTTTCTTGGGATMGTCTCATCCCACTCAGAGAACATGAATTAGGTCTTGTGCAACTTTTAGGAGCAAAGAGTCACTTATAAAGAAGAGGAGCTGTAAGGTAGCTGGAGACTCCTTCCCTGCTCTTGTTACTGAGTCAGTGGGCGGCACCCAGGTGGGGGCACTAAACTCTGAAAGCCTCAGCTTCTCTGTACAAAAGATGCACCTGACTCCACCGTGCTCCATGGCGCTCCCAGTGGAGGGACTCAGAAGTTCACTTTGGTAGAACATGGCTTTCTCTGGGGGACTGACCCGCAAATTACACAGTAGTATTGTCATCTCACCAGTTCCACATCTATACCTTCTGGAAATTTCTGTGGAACTTGGAAATTTCCATGGAACTTGGGAGGAKAAAACCAAAATACTCTAAAAGAATAAAGATTAGGGCTGGGATTGTAGCTCAGTAGTAGAGCTGTTGCCTCACATGCATGAAGCATTGGKTTCAATCCTCAGCACCACATAAAAATAAATAAATAAAAATAAGAATATAGTGTCCTTGTACAGCTAAAAATATATTTTAAAAATAGAATAAATGGTTAACAATTTCAGACTCAGAAATTATCAAGATAATGTAGCAACAACTATTTATGACTGCAATTWAAAAAAAAATTAGCTACAGATGGACACATGCCTTTATTTTGTTTATTTATTTTCATGTGATGCTGAGGATCAAACCCAGTGCCTCACACATGCTAGGCAAGTGCTCTACCACTGAGCCACAAACCCAGCCCCTATGACTGCAAATTTAAAGACAAAATAATATTATAGAATATATCTAGTTTCTTAGAAGTACCATTTTTWAAAAAGAAATTTCCATGTCTTAAATTTGCAAAATTTAACATCACAAAAATAGAAGTAAAATGTTAGTGTTTATATAAAAATATTGCTGAAATAATTGGTAAGGTCCGATCATGGGTGTACATAATGAATACAAAGACTATGAAGGAAAAAAAAATAAAATGAACTTCATACATTTTAAAGTTCTATCACAGATCGTACCTACAATAAAGTGGAAAAATAAATCAGTATATTCCAGCCTATGTTCTAAAATGTCCTATATTTATGCAAAATTCAATGAAATCAATATTGGAGGCCTATGATTAATCAGGTGGTTGAATGGTAATCTTTTTTTCATGCAGGACAATTTATTTCCTCATGAAATATRTCTAAGTTCTAGATGAAAACTGACATGCTTCACTGCTACAGAAGAAACTTGGAAAAATGATACTAGAATAACTGAAGTTATCCCAGAAGATAGAATTTTTTTCCCAAATGTAAAGTTTATTTAATAGCAATTATTAGGGATACGTGAAGAGAGGAGGTAGAACTGAATGTCTAAACATATCCATGTTTGAATCCTAGCCTTTTTTTTTTTTTTTTTTTTTAGTACTGGGGATTGAACCAAGGGGTGCTATACCACTGAGCCACATCCCCAATTCTTTTTATATTGTATTTAGAGACAGGATCTCACTGAGCTGCTTAAGGCCTCACTAAGTTGTTGAGGTTGGCTTTGAACTAGCGATTCCTCAGTTTTCCAAGTCACTTGCATTACACCACAGGCCCTAGCACAACAAGCTTAATTCTGGCTTTATTCACTTCTGCCTGAGCAGGAAGGGGGAGACCCTCACCATCTCACATCATCTCMGACCCCAGTTTCTCCAGCTAGAACACAGTGTTACTGATGCTCTAGGAATTAGAAATGAATGTGCAAAATGGCCACAGGGGTTGGTGATTGTTACTTTCGGGAGGTGGGGTGGAGGGGGGCTGTTCACCCATTGGCATTGCCCTTACTAAGCCACATAGTGAAAGGCTTTCTGTATCTTTTGAATGTGAGAGCACCTAAACATGGATGGTCAAAAGATGGGGAATCTGAAACTTTCAGTAAGACACCAACCCGCATCCACCTGTAGAGTCCTGCTTGAATGATTCGCCAAGGCTCACCTCTGTGTCACAACTTCATGGAATCACAGTGGTCTTCACATTGCAAACATACATTGCTCTGTCCTTAACCAAAGGCACCAAGAAACCCACAAGACACCKTGGAATACGCACCTCCCATTTGATGATCATCTCCTTGGGCTGAGACGCTTCCACCCTTATGTTTTCTGGGTTCTTGTCTGGAGCTGAAAAATGACAAGCAACAGAACTATTKTTTCTCCTTACTTTGTAACCAGTAGATAAATCACCATATTATTCCCCTCCAGAACTACCCAATGGGTAGTACTGGGTTTGGGACACATCTTAGGTTTAGACCTCCTTGTTTAAATTCTAAACCTGTCTTTTGAAAACGTCTYTTTCATTCGAAACCTGCTGTGTTTTTTTCTGTTAGAATTGTTGGTCGATACAAATGTTGTGAATGTTTGCTTCTGAGAGAAGAAAATTAAAGCTCACGAATTAACACCATCAGCCAAGTTTTAAGGACACGATGTAGCAAACAGCATGTCATGTCACCATGAAATATATTCAGATGGATCCTCTGTATTAGAAAAAGCTAAGCAGGAGGTGAGTGCTGAGTTAAGGCACACTGAAATCATACAAGTATCAAATTCAGTTATCTCCCAACTTGCTTTTTCTCAGTCCAAAAAAGGAATCATATCCTTGCGCATTTATTTCACTCAGGAAAAAAATAACTATCATGCTGGACAGAGGGGTGCACACCTGAGGTCCTAATGACTCGAGAAGGTAAGGCAGGAGGATTACAAGTTTGAGGCCCACCTCCACAATTTAGGGAGACCCTGTCCTAAAATAAGAAGTAAAAAGAGGTGCGTATGTGGTTCAGTGTTAAAGTGCCCCTCCTGGGTTCAAAGCCTAGGAGATGTGTGTGTGTGTGTGTGTGTGTGTGTGTATGTGTTTTACATATATGTAATATATATTATATACATGTAAAAAAGTAATATGTATACACACCAAAAAAAATCTCCTGGGCATTGAACCAAGAAGTGTCACTTTACCACTGAACCACACACACAGCCCTTCTCTCCAACTCCCTCTCTGTCTCTCTCTCTCTGTCTCTCTCTCTGTCTGTCTCTCTGTCTCTCTCTCTCTCTCTCTCTCTATATATATATATATATATATATATTTTTTTTTTATTTATTTATACACACATACATACACACATACACATATATGTACACACATATACATGTATATTGTGTGTGTATGTATATATATACATCCACCTGTAGAATCCTGCTTGAATGATTTATAAAGGCTCACCTCTGTGTCACAACTTCATTGAATCACAGTGATATATATATCATATATGTTATGACCACACTGATTTTCAATTCCAATTCACCAACACAAATTATTTGAGATCTATATTCGTGAGACTTAAAAAATAAAGAGTATTCTGCCAACTTACACAAGAAGATACAAGAAATACTTGTAGGCATAAGATGAATAAAATTTAACCGAGTGTCATAGTCAAAAGCTGACATCAGGATACTGGATCCCTGGCATCTCCACCCGTGGGTCTTCGGTGGAGAGTTCCTCTCTGGTCCGGTTTAAACATGATGTTTAAGCGACAAGGAAACTCATCGCCGCGCTGTGTTCTCCCAGACCACCCTCCTGTCTATCCAACAACTAGGTAAATATTTCTGAGACCAGGGTACTTTGAACACCTTATGCTTCCTTACTTTACAGAGCTATTCAAGGTATCTGGACAAATCTGAAATCCTATACAACTTTTTAAAAATTTTTAATTGAATTAATTTTAATTAAATTAATTAATTAATTAAATTTTTAATTAAATTTTAATATTTTTTTTGATGTTCAAAGAAGGATCCAAAAGAACATTCTGGTAGACACCTGAGGAGACACCCTGCTCACCTGCCGGAGGTGTGTCATGATGCTCCGAAGGCGGGCTAGGCTGACTTCTCCCGACCTCRTTCACGGCGACCACCCTGAACTGGTACCTCACATACGGGGCCAAGGGCAACAGGGCTGTTGTCTCCTTTCCTGGGACCCTGGTCAGCTCCTCCCACCTGCCAGGTTCCTCCCGGTTTCCTTCAAATTCGATGATATACTCTGTCCGGAGGAACCAGGGGAGCACATTAGAACAGGTTGGTTAGGCTGAAGGTCTGCCAAGATTGACACCAAACAGGAAGTGTTCAAAGGGGCCCTTCCAAGGTGACTCTGTGGGCTACAGAAAATGATCATTCCAAGTCTTCCTACCGCTGATATTGCTGTTGTGGTCCTCGCCAGCTTCCCAGGTCAGCCGGACACTCCTGTTCTCTCTTTCAGACAAGTGAAGGTTTTCTGGGGGATCCGGAGCATCTAAGGAATCACGTAAGGCAAAGGTCAGGAAAATGGAGGTCCATGCCCTCTGCTTCCCTGATTCCCTGACTCCCTGGCTCAGACCCAGTGCCCGCCTGCTGTCCTCTCTGGGCCCAGGTCTTTCCACCCTGCTCCACTCAACTCTCCCCAGCCTGGAGCTTCTGCTTCAAACAGAGGGATCTCCCAGCAGTTTTGCAGTTGGACATATCACTTCACTTCTGTCCAACTGTGGTGCACAAAGGGCCATCCTTGACTGATGGTGGGCCTCAGAATTCTTTTAGAAAAAGTTTTTTGTTTGTTTGTTTGTTTGTTTGGTACCAGGGATTGAACACAGGGGCACTTGACCACTGAGCCACATCCCCAGCGCTTTTTTTTTTTTTTTTTGTATTTTATTGAGAGACAGGGTCTCGCTGAGTTGCTGAGGCTGGGTTTGAACTCACTCACGATCCTCCTGTCTCAGCCTCMGGAGCCTCTGGGATTACAGGCGTGCTCACTTAGGAGTAGTTTTGAAYGAAGGATTCTTTTGTGTCCTATCTCTGTGTTACCAAAGGAGCTGGCTCTGGAAACCTCATTTGTGAATACATTCCCTGGGGAATGATTATGTTCAATCAAGTTTGGGGAATATAATGGGTCCCAAATGGGTCCATCTACTTTCCTCTAGCTCATGCTTTTAGAGGCCTCATGGGTCACCTGTGTGTGACTAAAAAAAAAAAAAAAAACCTTCCAGATTAGGGACCCTGTTATGTTCATTTCTGCATTGCCCACGATGCCTTCTACATAATTGTGACTAAATGCTAAGTGAAAAACATATTGGCACTTCAATCATGCGTATAAACATCATGTGAAAGCAAGAAAAATTAGGTCCTCTGGTTATAGAAAAAGAAGATTGGGAAACATGAGCTTGACCTTTCTTTTCTGCAATTATTTTGGATTTCCATTGTAATTGATGACAACGTATATTCTTGGTGTACAATAGCCACTTTTATCGCCTTGCCTTACAAGACGGAGATCTGGCACTGGTGTGAAGGCACGTGGAAGGCTGATTAGGGGGTGATGAATGTCTAGGTTTAAAGGACACAGAAATTTCTAGGATATTCAAAATGAAATCAATATTTAAAAAAAAAATCTTATCTCGAATAGTCCTTGCTTTGGTAATGTGCTCTTAATTTTCTCAAGTCCTCTAGAATATTGTCTTTGCCCAGAGGAGACAATGAGGGTATTATCCAACATCGCTTTCCAAGAGGGCTCTTTTCTCTCTGAGTGGAAAGTAGCAGCTAAGTGCTGCTGAATTGTTGAAAATGGACGTTGACCCAAAAGCCTTGTTTCTAGTTAAGAATGCAACGTTCTGATTTTTCAAGGGTCATCCCTGACTGTGTCCAAATATTAGGGCCTAAAACAAGAGGGTATCTTTCCACGACCAGGTTTCTGAATCTCTGAGCACAGAGAACTCTGGTTTTTTACTTAGCATTTAGTAAGAGTCCACTAAATCCTTAAGTTTCTGGGGACAACGAATGCAGAGTGTGGTATCTGAGATTAAAATCTCACCTGAGAATCATAAGGAGCTAGATTTGATGAGCTTGCAACTGAGACTTTAGAAAATGATACTCCAAAAGCATCTTTAGGCTAAGGCTTTGGGAAATGACTTCCGACTAAATGGGTTAACCTGTGCTTTTAAAAATTATTTTTGCTAGGCATGGTGCCACACACCTGTAATCCCAGCAGCTAGGGAGGCTCTGACAAGAGGTTTCCAAGTTCAAAGCCAGCCTCAGCAACTTAGTGAGACCCTAAACAACTTAGTGAGACCAGGTCTCAAAATTAAAAAAAAAAAAAAATTAAAAGTAGATCAGTGATTAAGCATCCCTGGATTCAATCCCTGGTACAAAAATAAAATAAAATAAAATCATTTTCTAGGATATAAGTCTTAGAAACTACATGTGGGTTAATCAACATTTATYGCCATGAGTTATTGAAATGTGCTTTTTTAAACTTGAGATTGGAGTGCAAAAAAGTGGAATTCAAACTCAAGAGAATGGTTTTTAAAATGTATCCTATCTCATAGAATATTCTTCAAAAATTATTTTTAAGTTTATTCTAAAAAGCTTAGAGCATTACTTTATACATAAATTGTACCAAAACCACTACTGATCTGAAATTACCAAAATGCAATGGTTCCAGAGAGTGGTAGACTCATCAGACTCATCGTATAGACACAACTTTAAATTTTGCAAGGAAATTGAGATACTAAAGGCCACGTCATAGCYTATGCCGGTATCATGGCTTTTATTCAGAACATTCAGAGGCAAAGTTCATGGATCCTGATACATACTCCTATCCTCATGGTGCATGCGATAAACTCCAATTTACTTGATACTCATGCATTTTATCTGGTGAATCATTACTATATGGATAGGAGAGTCACTAGAAGATTACATCTTTCTGCATACAGAACCCTGCAGAAACTCACATACCTACCCCACCAAACATCTTGCCCAAAGCTACAGTCCCACTGTGCCAAGCCCATACCCTTACAATGGGGATGAACTTTGTATCTTCTTCCCACCCCCCCATAGAACCTAATTTGGTGGCTGTTGGCTTCACTTCATGAATCCCAACCTGTAAACCCAGTTTTTACTTGCTGACCTCRGAGGAGACTGTTTCCTTCCCAATCTACAGCACCCTTAGTAACCTACCTGTGACTCCAATGACCAGGATGCTAAGGACACAAAGTCCTGTTCATAACCATGATCAATCTAGACACATGATGAAGGAGTTTCAGCAAAATCAAATGCTTTTAAGAAACATCAACCAGCTAACATCAAGACTAAGCAATTGGGCACAGTGGCTCATGCCTGTAACCTCAGAGCCTTGAGAGGCTGAGGCAGGAGGATCACAGTTCAAAGCCAGCCTCAGCAACTTAGAGAAGTCCAAAGCAAATGAGTGAGACCCTGTCTCAAAATTTAAAAAAAAAATAAGAAGGGCTGGGGAGGTGGCTCAGTGGTTAAGCACCCCTGGGTTCAATCCTTGGTATAAGAATATATAAATAGATAGAAAGAAAAAAATTTAAAAAGACTAAGTGGTGCCCAGTGAAACTGAATAAATGGAAATTGCATCATTGTCTGTGTGTCTGCCACACACACACACACACACACACACACACACACACTGCTACTCCCAGGGCTCCTTGTGGGCTTGTGCCCAAAGATAGCTAAATGGCAAATGACTTGCTGATATTGTCCCTACAGGGCAGGTTTCCAGGAGCTGCTTCGGGGGAGCAGATCCACAGAGGAAATTGGAAAACATCCTGTCAACGGGCCCAGGGCCATAAATGCTGGTGATTTCAGGGGCGATCGCGTTGATTACACTCAGTGAAGTGTGCACAGTGTTCCCTAGTTAGGATTATCACTTTAAAATTCAAAGGCATGCAGAACACTTGATATCCCTCCCCACCCTCCCTAGACCTTGGGGGGCTCCATGGTGTGTGGTTCTGGTGCACAGCATGGCCACCGTGCATCCAGCACTAGACCCCAATCCAGACCATTCCAGTCACTAATCCAGCTCCACTCACCAGCCTCATTTCTATGCACCCCAGGAAAGGGTAGGGAGCTCTGGTGGGAGCTACTAGGGGCATGAGCACACCTTGCTTTCTCTTTCTGTTGATAGCATCGCTAACCTCACACTGACACAGGCAAACCTACCCAGGAAGGGAAAAGAAATTTAGTATAAATTGACATCTTCTATAGGAGGAGAACGCATTCCAAGAGGTTCGTTTTGAAACAAAAAGCCCCAGCTACTTATAGATGCRCAGGGGCTCAGAGAATCATCCCTAGGCTTTGTCACCTCGGAACAACGGAGCACAATCATCAAAGTCATGGCAAACTTACCGAGGACAGTGACTTGCGTCATCTCGGTCACGCTATCCAGAGCAGTTTGAGCCCAACAGGAGTAAATGCCTTGGTCCTCCAAAGTGACATTAGAAATGGTCAGATTGGCTCCGTCAATAATTATCCTACCAGGGAGGAGAAGAGAGTATCCGATGAGCATGAAAATAACAGAAACGATAGAAACAGAAGCCGTTGAAGGGCACATACTACCCATGGATGATGATTCTAAAGATGGAGGAAAAACAGTTCCACAAACTGCAAACATYAGGATTCTGAGAAGGGCCACAGATGAAATACTAGAGGTCAAGTATTATTGCAGCATACAGAGATGTCCACATGGCCATCAAAGGGATCACGTTTCTTTTTACGTCTGTATGTGTATGTGTATGTGAGCGTCTTATTTTACTTTTTTATTTTTTATTTTTTAAAATTGGTGCATTATTATTATTTATAACTGTGGGACTTGGGGGGGGTCACATATTTGCACATGCGCACAATTGAACAGTATATTTTGGCTGATTTCTTTTCTCAGTACCACTGCTCTTCTTCCCCCTCCTTCTGGGCAGCCCCCCTTGGTCTCCTCTACTGATGTCCCTTATGTCCCTTTGATTTCCATGAGATTCCCACCCACTTTTTTTTTGGGGGGGGAAACATTTTTCTCTCTAGTTTCCACATGAGAGAAAACACATAACCCTTGGCATTCTGAGTGGCTTATTTCGATTCACATAAGTAAAAATTTAGGATTACCCTACCATCTGGGACGAAGGGGTCAGGACAGGACCAAGATGTATTGGATGATTCTCGCTACATGAGCTGGGAACCCTACACAGCATCAACCTCTGGATGTGGCTTCCAGAGGCAGATTCCTGAATCCCACCTGGTTAGGAACCAGGACATCTGACACAGAGTCTAAAAATAAACCTCTGGTTTTGACAAGCTTCCATTTCCTCTCCCGCTCTGTCTCCAGGTGGAATCCTACTGAAATCTGATAACGATTAAACGATGGAACTTGTGTGGACAGTAGGTGGCAGTCTAGGACTTCTTTCTAAAACTCATTTCAACCAGCGTTTTCTTCTTCCATCTTTTGCCAAATTTGTAGCAGAGTTTTTACTACTTATAATTTTTTAGCTTGTCTTTATAATTTACAAAGAGAATTAATTCTTTATAATACCTTTTACCCTATACCTATATATTTTCAGCATAATTTTTATATATTTTTTTTTAAATGCCATTAAATTCAGAATATACTCGTGGCAGTGGGTATTTAGTTGAAATAATGTTGTGTCATTCTTAGGCAAAGGGTGACTCTTCCTGAAAATTCTAATGTAACACTCATAAACTGTTGGACGTTTGAATTGTAGGAAACTATTTCAAAGTGTAGTCAAAAGTTCTGCCTTTTTTTAAACTTTATTTATTGATTTTTATTTTTTAGTTGTCAATGGACCTTTATTTTATTTATTCATATGCAGCGCTGAGAATTGAACCCAGTTCTCACACATGCTAGGCAAGTGCTCTACCACTGAGCYACAGTCCCAGCCCCAAAAGTTCTGCCTTTTGATTATAGACAATAAGCCTCACAACTACACCAATAATTTCACAATTTGCCCATCAATACTTCCTGATCTGGTTGATTAAAAGTCAGCTAGAGATATAGCTCAGAGGTAGAGCTCTTGGCTACAGTGCATGAAGCCCTGGGGTCAATACCCGCACTGCAAACAGTAACAACAAAATTCTGACTACAATTCTAGACAAAATAAAACTTTGACATAAATTAATTTTTTCATTCATGTCAGTTATATATCTATATCAGTGTCATAATACTGTGTGTACCTACAATGCCAGACAAGGTCACCCACTTAGATGAGGAAAGCACTCTGATATTAAACTTCTTCAAATGAGGCTTTAATACACTTATGAAGCTATTTATCCACAAGGGCCAGTGGGAGCTGAATTTTTTTTTTGGCCAGTATTGTGCCCCAGCATAGATTTACTTCACATCAGAAAGGGTCATTTTTTTTTTTTTTGGTAATTCGTTGCTAAATTATGCAGTTTTTTTCATATCATGAGTATTCTGTAGTCTCCTCAACTTAATCAAGATACAGTGATCTTAAAACTAGGTGGTGGGTGTGAACCTAAGAAGAYTGTTGTAAATTTCATGCCCTAGCCTCAGTCTACATTTCAAATCAGAATATTTGAAGGTGGGACAAGGGTCATTTGATCACGAAGTGCGAGTAATTCTGACCTGACGTACATCAAAATCTGAGAAGAACGTGCTTTAGCAAGGATATGCTATATTTTGCTGTAGTGACAAACAGTTCCAAATTCTCAGTGCCTGAGACTACAACATATTTTCTTTGCAGTTTTTGTTCCTATCATAGGTCAGCTGAATTTTGCTGCTCAAAGAACTTCTGTCTCTGTGCTTCTGGATTCCTTCCTCTGTTTGTCTTACCTGCCTGACTTACCTGCCTGACCCACACCTGGGTAGCCTGCTCACTGGAAAACCTCCCACCCCTTCATGTGCATTGCCCAGTTGTATCATCCCCAGTCCACGTCAGCCTTCCCTCTGTGCACTTGCCACATTTCACTGAGGACAGAATGACAAAGTGATGACTTGGAGAGATGCAGTGGAGGCCCATCAATTCTTACTTATATATTTTTAAACAAAAAAGTGAGCCCAGTTCAGCTGATCTGAAAAATGGGGATACCCATATTTTCTTTCTTTTTAGAAGTACRAATCGTATGAACTGATTTCGTGCACACAGCCTGAGAGAAAAAGTGCTCAAAGGGAATAACTAAGAACACTTTAAACTTAGCTTATCTCTGTGGTTATCATCCTGCATGGTGAGGCACCCCTGTAATCCCAGCGGCTCAGGAGGCTGAGACAGGAGGATCGTGAGTTCAAAGCCAGCCATGGCAAAATCGAGGTGCTAAGCAATTCAGTGAGACCCTGTCTCTAAATAAAATACAGAATAGGGCTGGGGATGTGGCTCAGTGGTTGAGTGCCCCTGAGTTCGATCCCTGGTACCATAAAACTCCAACTCCTCCCTGGGCAGCACTTACCCCCTCTGCCCGGCACATACCTGAGGTCCCTCTTGAGCTCAGGCTACTGTCCCCACTGCCTGTTAAGAGAATGCTGGGCTATCTGCAACACTTGCTCAGTCCACTGGATAGCCAGTGGTCCCTCTGAGTGACAATCTCAGCATCTTGAAGAAACAGTACAACCCAGTCACCCTGAAAGCCTGGCTTAGAGATGCAGGGGTCACACCGTCAGTGGGTGCGTGTCACATCCCTGATGAAGCGTGGTCTCCAATTCTCTTCCTGGCAGCAGCCCAGAGATCCCATGGAAGAACCAAGGTAACTGGGTAATTTTGACAAGAGAGAGAATTCGGGCTGATTTCCAAAGTTGACAGGTTGACTGAGACCTAATGTGAGGGTCAAGCTGTCTGTGGCAGCGGGTGGCTCTGTAGAGTTTGTCAGTTCTTGCTTCAGTGGCAATGAATTGCAATGTTTACTCTATCTTCCTACAAGTCTACACATATAGGATGGAGACGGGGAAGCAGATGAGGTGCTAGGGCGGAGGCCAGCGCCTTCACAGAAAGGTGAAGCCTGAACACACGTGCACGCTCACACACGTGCATGCACACAAATGCACACATATCACACATGCACTCACATGTACATGCTTGTGTGCATACACACACACACCACACACACACACACACACACACACACACACACACACACACACCACACACACACCAATACTGATAGAGGCCAAGCAAGTTACAGAAACAAACAAAAAAGGAGCCTGGGGAAATGAACAGTACCAATAATAACTATCAAAGGGGTCCACAGTGCTATTTTCTAAGTGCTTGGTAAGTTCACTCACAATCACCCTACGATGAAGGTTGACCCCTAGTGTTTTCCATCAAGCCACGTTCTAGAATGTGGAGTGCAGGCAACACAGATGGAAAGCCATCGGTGACACAGCACAGCTGGGCTTCAAAGCCAAGTCACCCACTGGAGTCCATGCTTTTTATTGTAATTCTGCTATGGTCTCAGGGGACCATAGCAGAATCCCATTGAAAGACCTTTCAGAGTCTTAAATAACAAAATCTGACTTAGGATAGATTTGGCTCCAAGATGGTAGCTTTTTAACCCTTGCTTAAGTGACAGTGCAAAAGGACTCAAAGTCACCTTCCACATGTTCTCAAGGGACAGGGCGGGCATCCTGATGCTTTCGATTCTGATGGATTCTTTTCCTCTTCAGTGTTATTAACATTCTCTGGTGCTACCTGGCATCTCTGTATACTCCCTTGCCTTCTACAGTTCCCCTGTGCAGAATACTCTAAAATACAACACCAGGACTCCACTCCCATCGGATTCTTCATTCATTGATTCAAACAATTGTGGATTGAAAACATTTTTACGAAAAGTTCATCTGTACTGAATATATAAGGTTCTTGTTTGTTATTCCCCCGAACAGCACTGTATAATGGCTATTTACTTGATGTTTACATTGTATCAAATGTTACAAATAATCTAAAGATGATTTACAGTGTAAGTTGTGAAGTTCAAAGTTTAAGGACCCTGGCTTGAAAGGGAGGTTAGAGGCAATACTGCACCATTTTATATAGAAGGCATGAGCATAAACAGATTTTGGTATCTGGAGGGGGTCTTAGAACCAATCTCCCCCATGGATACCATGGAAGGACTATAGTTGCTAAGTACTTTCTAGCAACAAGAATTCCAGTACTGAAATTTTGTCAGCAAAATGTTCTCCTAGGAGTCTGGGAGGCCGAAGGAAAATGGGCACCATCTTTCTCTGAAGCAAGGTGAGCAGACAGTGGCTCTGGCAAACATGGTAGTGGGCAGCAGCTGGACTCTGCAGGGGCCCCCAAGGGGGTGAGGTGGCTATGGAGACAGCAGCAGTTTGCAGGTATCTAGATCACAATTGCAGTGCCCACTCGGCCCAGCTCCTGCCGCGTCCCCAGTGGTCTCAAAAGCACCTACTTCAGGRCAACCCATCGGGGTGGGCTACCTGGAGTGAATTCTGGTTCAGGCACTACAAGGATGGTACATGTCATGTGACAAGTCATTCCTAAAAACAAGAATGTAAACATGATGGAAAAGACAAACGAGGGTCGTCTGACCTTTGAACTAAAGACTTGAACCCTGAACTGTGTTAATTCACTGTGAATTAAACTCTTTTTCTCCTAATACAAAGAATTCAGCCCACACGTAGACAATGGCCCTACGGAGACTTGACCCACCTGCCATCTTCTGTGCCGTTAAATTCGAAGGCTTCCCCATCTTTGCTCCAGGACAGCCTCAAGCTGTGCTTCAAGTGTGAGTCGCATATGCTCTCGCAGTGTAACTCGAGCACGTGCGATCTGGGGACACGGGGATTCTTAGGAGAAACTCGGAGTTTTGTAGCATCTGTTTTCACCAAACAAAGACACGAGTTAGATCCGGAAAGCTCAGCTTACCTTGGGATCCATAACCTGCATTTTAATCAGCCCCAAATTGTCAACATCACTGTCAAACCCTCATGCGATGCTTGTGTCATATCATCTGACATCATACACGTCATTAGTGTTTTCTTTCTGTGCAGGCCTGGGCCTCTGAAAAAAAATGTCAATAGCTTGACAGTTTTCCTTACCATTTCTTGGGCAAAGGGGGTAAGAAAAGTGTAAGCCAACAAAGGCTTCTAGAAGTTGCAAATAACACAATTTTTTTTCTAGGGCCTTTGGATGCATCATGCAGTAAGGGAAAGTTATTTGATATTCTATTGGCATGCTTATTATTCATTCAGAAACCTGAGGCTAAGTTCAAAAGACCATGCACATGTGACTACCAACATGGACTCGGGGAATTGGAAAGTGAGCCCTACAAAGGTCAAGTCTGAGGCTGTTTTATTACACAGTGGACCAAGGGAGGTCACTAGGGAGTCTATGCAAATTAGGTATTTGATACATACTGGAATGTCTTATTGAATGCATAACAGTGAATGGTAGTTTAAAACAAAAATAAATTAATAGTATCAACAATAGAAAGCTTAAACATTGATATTATGGCTGTCTTGAAAAATAGCTGCTTCTTCAGTATGGAGATTCTTTGGAAATCTGGGAATGGAACCACCATTTGACCCAGCTATCCCTCTCCTTGGTCTATATCCAAAGGACTTAAAATCAGCACACTACAGGGACACAGCCACATCAATGTTTATAGCAGGACAATTCACAATAGCTAAACTGTGGAACCAACCAAGATGCCCTTCAGTGGATGAATGGATAAAAAAAATAATGTGGCATGTATACACAATGAAATTTTACTCATCAATAAAAGAGAATAAAATTGTGGCATTTGCAGGTAAATGGATAGCATTGGAGAAGATAATGCTAAGTGAAGTTAGCTAATCCCCAAAAAACAAATGCCGAATGTTTTCTCTGATATAAGGAGGCTGATTCATAGTGGGGTAGGGAGGGGGAGCATGGGAGGAATTGATGAACTCTAGATAGGGCAGAGGGGTGGGAGGGGAAGGGAGGGGGCAGGAGGTTAGCAAGGATGGTGGAATGTGGTGGACATTATTATCCAAAGTATGAAGACATGAATTGGTGTCAACCTACTTTATATACAACCAAAGATATAAACAATTGTTCTCTATATGTATAATAAGAATAGTAATGCATTCTACTATCATTTATTTTTTAAAAAATCAAGAAAAAATAAATATTAAAAAATAGTTGCTTCTCTATGATTGCTTTAAAACACAGTCTTGGGGCTGGGGATATAGCTCCGTTGGTAGAGTGCTTGCCTCACATGCACAAGGCCCTGGGTTCAATCCCCAGCACCACAAAAAATAAAGAAAAAAAACAAAACAGTCTTTACTCTTTAATGAAAAATTGAAAGAGATACACTTTTAATATGGCACTTGATACCTGGGAACCCTATTGGAGACAAAAAACAAATCTCATGAACTGACCTCCAACTCTACAACTGTGTCTAACATTCGCTATCTATAAGTTTCTCAAGGAAATGATTTTTTCAAAAAGGTAAAAGTGTTAATAAAATTGATTATTCCATGTCCCGAGCACAAAACTTGAAGTGACAATTAAAATGATTAAATATCAAGTATGATTAAATATCTTATCCTAATTCTAAATTCAAAGTAAAAAAAATCATTTCATAAAAATAGACACCATCGAATGAGTGATCATTGTATTTCCGGGACTCGGTACATTCACTGCGGCATTTTATAATTACAATAACTATAAATATTAATATTTCCACCTTGCACAAACAATTTCAGGGTGAAATTGAGTGTGAGACCAACGCTTCCTAATTGCTAAGAGAATTGAAGAAGACTTTGAACCCAGCCCAGCAGAGACCAAAACGTACCCCTTCAGCTCCTCCTCTAGTTAGCATCTTGCTGAACATTCTTTTAAATATACAGAACCATACCCCTGGCCCTGCATTCCTGTGATTTTTACAAAGTCCTTACACATAAAACAGACACAGCACACTGAAAGTTCCTGAGCTTGTCTGGTTACTGGAAGTGCCGAGGCCCACACATTGGGCAGCAATAATGTTCCTCTGGATTCTAGATCTCCTCTCCTTGCCTCTGAACCCTGGCTGATGGCTGACCCTTGACAGAGATTTGCTTTCTGAGGAAGAGAATCAATCATCTTCATTAACTCCTTAAGAGCATCTTAACATTGTACATACTTGGACGCAGGGAGACATCAGAGATGAGCGCACAGTGGGGGAGAATGTTTGCATCATCTAAAAATATAGCCCACGGGCTTGGCAAGTTGGCTAGCTTAGGGCAACGGAAAGAGATGCATACTGGAAAATCAAAAGAAGGAATAAGAAAGAAGATAAAGGAGAGAGGGAAGGAGGCCAAGTCGGAGCAGAGGGAGAAGCTAATGCGGTGACATATGATTGGACAAATGATTCCTCTCCTCCAGGCAGAAGGAGGTGAGAGGCCATGACATCAGTGTGACACAAGAGCAGATCCCGCTCTCTGTCCCTGTAGGTCCTTTCTAATCTCTGTGTTTTCTCCGAGTAATATTGAAGTCAAAACCCCAGGGATGCCCAAGAGACTATTCACAAGTTCTCAGGACTTCCATCATGAAGACAGACAGAAGAAAATACTATTTGTGGTTCAAAAAGAAAAAAAAAATCCACATTCTGACATTCTTCAATTTTTATGAAAGCACAGCTTTTATGAGTTAGTGAAATGTTTATCTGAAAGAACTGATTATCAGTAATACCACCTTGAGTTGACTACTAAAATAAAATATCATTACAGAAATAAATAAAAAGTAACATGACATTTCAAAACTTTTAAATATCCAACACCAAGGATACCTAGCTCCCTCTTAAAATTGTATAAATCCATGTATGTGTTATATTCTGTCATGCTTGTAAAAGTCTTTTCTTTGGGAGGCAGAGTAACAGGGATTGGACTCAGGGGCACTCTGCCACTGAACCACATCCCCAGCTTTATTTTACACCTTATTTAGAGACAGGGTCTTATTGAGTTGCTTAGAGCCTCAATTTTGCTGAGGCTGGCTTTGAAGTGGGAATCCTTCTGCCTCAGCCTTCTGAGCTGCTGATGAAATTGCAAACCACCACTTTTGAAAAAAGGGTCTAAAGGACTTTAACAGGTGTGCAAACTTAAATCACGTGGTTTCACTTGAAGACACAATGAAACCCTGTGAGAATTCATGCAAAGGAAAAATGAAATCAAAATACTTCGAATATCCAAGTTGGCTGTGACTGCGGTTTTTCCTAAAGAGTTTTCTACCCAACAAGAGTAGGACCCGGCATCTTCTTCGGTGGTTCTGTTGATCTGCAACGTGCCGTTTCTGTGGACATGGTACCGCCTGCCCTGGAGAGGCTGCGCTTCATCTGCCATCTCCCTGTGGAGATACAAAGTTTACATCAACCTGGGGTGTGACGGAATTGTATACTCTCCTGAGTTTCATCCCTGATATTATTTGGGCTCATCTCTGCTTCAAGAGCTCAGCAGACCTTTGGAATATCCTACTGGGGTTGACATTTTTTTTTCCTTGGAATTGGCCACAGATACCTATCTTATCTGCCCAGATAGACTGTGGCTAAAGGAAATCCGATCTCTGTCCTACGCCTCTGCCTTTCTCAAAGCTATCAGTACTGCTTTCCCTCTGTCCTCAGAGCTTAATAAATATTTTCTGGCTAATTGATGGAGAACCCTTTAGTTCACGATTGCTCCAGGGTACTGAATGGGAAAGCCAGTCATTGGAAGAGATAATGAATCTTCTAAGCTTCCTGCTGTCCTGGGAGAACATGGGTCATTCCAGAATACGATAAGCCAGGGAATCCTACCTGTTTGGTGGACATAGATCACATCCACCCTACCCACCCCAGAGTCATTTTCTCCCACCTTCATCCACTTTCCAAATATTTCCTGCAGCTTGATTCACCCTGTTCATTTCACAATAAGCAACTGCTCTACTAAAAATTGCAGAAGTCAAGCCGGGGTTGCAGCTCACAGAGGATTTGGATGAGGCTGGGGTAAGTGAGGGGTTTGCTCTGGTTGGCAAATTTAAGAGGGTGCCAAACATTTCAATGAGCGAGATACATAATATTTTAACGAAGCGTTCATTAAATGAACAGTTGCAAAAACCCCACGGTGAACAAAAAAATCAGAATTTTAAGTACAGGCAAAATGTGCCCCACCTTTGTAGGACCCTACCCCACCTCTGAAGGGCAACGGAAACATTTATTAACCGAAGTTCAATGAAGCTCTTTCACTAAAGAAGCCAAAATGGTAGATCTATAGGACAATGAGTTTGAACTTAGAACGCCAATGAAAGTACTGGAAATAAAAAAATCACAAGGATGGTTGGTAAAGTTATAAACATGCATGTTTGGAATGAGATGCAGATTTAGATCATTATTTAGAGAATTCTGGAATAACAGCACAGGGGTAATAGATGGCTTTAGATGTCCCCCATCATGGAAAAGCAAATCTATCTTTAAAATTGTCTTTAGGAATCACTTCGATTCTTTGGTTTTTCTTTATGAACAAAAATGGCCTTTGGCATGTCCCCCCTCGTGAGACCGTGCTAGCAATCCGGGCAATGTCTTCCTGGAGCGGCAGATAATTAAGTTGCTTTCCTTATTTCTCAGAGGCATMGGCTCCATGTTAACAACACGGACACCATGCAGTCCACCAAATGATGGATGAAGAAACAGGCACAAACGACCCACAGTCATTCTCTGAGGAAATGGCGGGCTGGCTTACCAGGTCACGATTGCCTCCGGTGAAGCGAAGAACTCGCAGTGTAAGAAAGCACTGTAGCCAACCACCGTCGCGTAGTTTTCTTCATCTTTGGTTTGGATCAATGGAACAACATCTATTTGCAAGTGACACAAATACCGTTTTAGAGCTTCCCGAGAGAAGTACATGCGGATGACATTTTCCTACATCTCAGCCGAATTCGTAAGAGTGGAAGAGATTTGACGATTACAGGACATGTTCTTGAATGACAAATGTAGCCACATTCAACACGTTTTGCAAGTAGAGTTTCAGTGTGGCATCAAATGCCCACATCGAAGAAGGAGAATGAGGCTCTGATCTCTTCCCCCATGTTTTCTGTGTGCAGAATTCAGCCGGGACTTGTAGCCAAGACCCTCGACCATTTTTCTTCTGCAGACAGCAGAACCCCGCCTGCTCTCAGGTGCACTCACCTAGAACATCGATGTTGGCATTGGCCAGGATGGTGCCATGGACGTTGGAGGCTTCGCACTGGTACACGGCAGTGTGGTTGGGCTGCAGGTTGGTGAAACTGATTTCCCTGGGAAAGACCACATCACCAGCGAATGGATGGTCTGAAAGGAATTAAAGAATGTCAGCACGATAAAGGATAGGGCATAAAACATTTATACGCCGTTTATTAGAGGTGTCACACAGTATTTATATTTTAAGGCCATTTTAGGGTGAATTACAGTTCATGAAGAAAGCCAATTCTTTAAAGCCTTCTCCGCGTGCATCACGGATGTTTCTTTTCCGGACCTTTCGCATTTTCTTCATCCAAGTTAAGGTTTATTATCAATATCTGCTGGTCTGTGGCTCCTTGCCCCTGCATAGCCCAATTCATAATACGATTCTAGATTCTCTGTTTGGTGCTCAGGTTCTGACACAGACAGATCCTTGCTTACTCTTCTGAACCTAGGTCAGGATTCCACCCAGCACAAATCATCCTCATCTTTCCAATCTACCGACACTGGTTGCTGTTTTTCCTTCCTTGATACCTTTATTTCTGTTCCACTGCTCCGTCCTTCTGGAATTTTCCGACGTACACTGCTCATTCCTCATGTCTTTACTATTTAACTACTTCAATTACAATAGCTCACATATTTCATTTTCCCAGGATGAAACCCCTTCATGAGACCAGGGCTAGGTCTTCAACATTTGGGCAGTAACAACTATCCCCACTTCCGATCTTGGAACTATCTTTCGGAAATGAACATGACTGATATTTTTGATGCATTTATTAAGGAACTAAGAGCTCTGCTGGATGGGCCCCCCTGCACAACCTCATTGACTCTGCTTAGAATTCCCTAAAACAAGTTGTACAAGGCCATTAACATTTTTTATTTTTTCATTTTTTTTGGCAGGGGGGTACGGGGAGCGGGGATTGAACTCAGGAGCACTCAAGCACTGAGCCACATCCCCAGCCCTATTTTGTATGTTATTTAGAGACAGAGTCTCACTGAGTTGCTTAGGATCTCGCTAAGTTGTTGAGGCTGGCTTTGAACTTGCAATCCTCCTGCCTCAGCCTCCAGAGTCGCTGGGATTACAGATGTGTGCCATGGCACCTGGCCTAGGAGTCCATTTCAGAAGTTAGATTCAGAGCACATGAATGATACTTTCCACAGCATTTGGTAACATTTCTGCCTCCAAATCCCAAGTCCTTGCTAAGTCATGGACAGTGGAAAGTAAAACATTGGAGAGGAATGTCGGGTGGGTGTGTAAGTGGGTGTGTGTGTGTGCACGAGTGAAAAAAATCTACTTTAAAAGTCACTACAAGATTACAATCTATCCCGTTTCTTCTCTCTTATTGGTTCCATGTCACTAATAATGACATAGTAAGTTTTAGGTTATAGGAAACACTGAATAGTACATATTCAAATGGAAATCTTTCCTTATCCTTTCCTCCCTGGGAGTCCTAAGTGAATACATTTTCCACTTGACATGAGCTGTGGGACCAGTGTCTGGTCTGTGTGTTTGAGCTGTCGGAGCCCCTGCACCTGAAGATATGCTCTACCCAGAGAACAGAAAAAAACTGAAAAGATTGCGTTGGGTAACCATTTTATTCACCAAAGATTACTATGAGGTTGGTGGAAAACGAGTCCCTGAGTGATGGCGGGGATCCTTTCCCAGGATCTGTGGCTACATTACCTAACCTGGAATAACAACATTGTCGACGTGATTAAAGTGAAAGATTTTGAGTCACAGAATTTATCCTGAATCATCCAGATAGGCCCCTGTAGCTGCACAGTTTCTTAAAATCAGAAACGCTTTCCGGGCTTTGGCCAGAGGTACTTGAGATTATAGAAAAGTGGCCAGTCAGATGCAAGACTGCTGGTGTTGAGGCTGGAGGAAAACATCTTGGGGCTGCCCACAGGAGCTGGAGAAGGCCGCAAAAGGGATTCCCTGCCAGACCCTGGTGACAGGGAGACTCATGCAACAGTGGACATGATCTGTAGGGGCAACCTGTCGCTTGAGAAGGGGCAAGATGAACAGCTCTTCCAAGTTCTGAACTGTCAAAGGGCTTTGCCAGGGACCGTTTCTGATCTGACCCTTCACCCCTCCACCCCAACTCGGAGTTCTAAGTTTGCGGGGTTGATCCTGTTGCCCGTTTAGTCCTTACCCCATCGGCCCCCTGGGCAGCTGGGAATCAACACAGTATTGCAAAAGGAAGAAACGAGGCGATGGCCTCCTGTTTAAGTTGAACCACAATTAAACTAAACGTTGCTCCAGTGTGCCTTCCGGGAAAGGACATTGCACAACAATGTCACATGCTGGCCGCAGCCAACAGGAGGTGGGGAGTCAAAACAAGCAAACACAAGAGTCCTATCCTAATTCAGGGTGTCTCTTGTCAATTCTGTCTCTGGTCACTTCTGTGGGAAAGAATGCAGTGCACAGGGAGAAAGGTCACCCATTAACTTGTCCCCGGGCCCCAGCTCTGGCCCTAAATTGATGGGCCTGTGCTTTTAAGTCAGTGATCTGACTTCTATGAGCCTTGGTCACTATGTCTGCAAACTGGTGGGTCATGAAAATCTATCTTTCAAAGCTGTTCTAGGCCCAGCATGTGAAAAGATAAGGTCTGTCTTCAATAATAGAATTCACTTGGGCTTAATTTTGAAATGAAAGGGAGAAAGAAGAGGAATTCCTAAAAGTGTGAGTGGAAACAGGATTTGGATCCTGTTGTCGGGTTACTGGCCTCACACCCCCCCAACTATGGACGGTTGGGACCTGTTTGCTGGGGAACAAGGAGAACTGTGGTCCAGGAGCCGTGGAAAAAAGCCTGGGCCTGGGTTCTGCAAGGGATGCTTGCGTTCCAAGCCTGCCAGGACTTCGCTGTGCTACTCTGTTTATTCTCAGTCGTGACCTACCCATCATTAATGAACCAGTTGGCTCTACCTTGAGAATAAATCCAGAACCTAACCATGATGTCCAGTCTGGCCCCAGTCCCCAGCATCTTTCACACAGTCCCCTTCTGGAGTTACATAATCAGAGTCCCCATTCAGAGACTGGAAATCTCCTTCGATAAAATGAAAATAATAGCATGCTACTCTTCTGCTCAGAATCCTGCATGAGCTACACATCCATGGCCAAGGAAATCCCAGGTCCCTACTTGGGCTTTCGCTGAACCTCTGCACTGGCCCTCCGCTGCTGGCTGACCTCATGGCCCAGGACTGCCCATTGGTCAGTCACAGGGGGCTCCTTTCTTTCCTTCACAGGCCAAACACCCCTCTTCGAATTCACGGACCTCGCCAGCCTGAAAGCACATTCACAGGTTTTACAGGGCTGAGTTCCTTATCGCCTTCAGGGTACTGCTCAAAGGCCTAGGAACACAGGAATCTTATGATCTGACCTGATGCAGCAACTGTCCCTGGGACCTGAGGTCCTATGTGCTCCACTGATATCCAGCYATTTGCTACCTTAGTGCAGCATACCCATGTGCTTCTCCGGCTGCTGACCACTGCTCCCCACCAGAACATCAGAACCAGGAGAGAAGCATTGGGTTTTATTCAGTGGTAGATCCCGAGCAATAAGCCATAAGATCCCGTGCACGGGAGGGACTCCGTAAATATTACCGAAGACAAGAATCTGTTAAATATGAAAAGTAGTACGACCTCTCTAGGGTTCTTCTGATAACCTGTGAGTGCCTTTTGCAAAGAGAGCAGCATTCAAAAGTAAAATTTTATGATTTTATGTTTTAATCTGCATTTCTTATTTGGCAGTCTTTATCCATTAAAAACTGTTCTTATTTCCTTTTGAAATGACAAGTTCAAACCTTGTTTCACTTCTTCTTCTGTTCTCTAAAGAGATAAGGGGGGGGCGGGGAATCTCACATTTGAAGATATTAAGGATGGAGGGCTAAAGTTTCCTGAGTGTCCTATGAAATGATAATAATCAGGCACACTTGGGGCTGTTGGTTAGGTGGCTGCTTCTGTGCAGAGCGCCCTGTGACTTGTTTTATTTCATCCTCACAGTAGCCCCATGACTCACTGCTATTTTTTCTCTCCTTTTTCCTGGTGGGAAAAAAAAAAAAAAAAAGAACAGTTTCTAAGAGGCTTCCTCATATGCCCAGTTGCATAACTAGTCACAGAGCTGGTGTGCCAACACAGGCCATCAGGCATCAGGTCTCAGAAATCAGACTGCTCCAATCAGGCCATTCCTGATTTCCTGGTCCATCTGTCCTGCTCCTCAGCCACTTCCCAAGTCCCTTTGACACAGAGCCAGGGTTTCTGCAATGGGGCCCCACGGGCTGTTCAACTCACTGTCCACCGGGGAGCCGTTGACTCTCCACTTGATGGTGGGCTGCGGCTCCCCCGCCGCCTCACACAGCAAGATGCCGCTGTCCCCCGTGCTGTACACGCGACTCTCGGGCTTCTTGGTCCAGTGTGGAGGTTCTGGAAACAAAGAGAAGAGGTTTCCAGAGATCTGTAGCCAAAAGGTCCCCAAATTCTTGGGCCTGTAGTACCTGGAAGCACCAGCAGAGGGCAGACACCACCAAGTCGATCACAGTTCTTTTTTTTTTTTTTTTTTTTTTTTTTGGTACATTTTGTTCTGTGAAGCCAGTCGGGCGTTGTTATTTGTGCAATCTGTTGTGTGCGTGTGTTTGTGTGTATGTGTGTACTTAATCTGGATGCTAAGCATGTATAATAAATCAACATGCTAAAAATAGTTAAATGCAACCACTTCATTTAGCTACACAAGCATCTATCTCACTAGCAGAAAATAAAGGAAGAATAAACGTGGGACATTCCTTAAGCGCTGACTCCAGCTTATTCGCAAGCTGCAGCAGAGCCACTGAAAAAGGCTGATATTTTAGGAATATGCTTTTTGAATATTTCAAAATCCTAGTATTTGAATTTTCAACATTCAAATTATTAATTAATGATTTCATAGCATGTATGTATCTCTGCCTATTCCTATTTATCTAATTGATCTGGAAACTATTATTTTCCTAGAGATTTTGTTTTTTTGAAAAGGGTCAGGGAGTGAAGACGACAAGCAATCCTGGAAGAAATAAAATATGGAAATCACTGGCATCTTCCTGCGCCCTCATGCTTCACAGTAGAATTCAAAGTGGTGTTTTGGAACTAAACATTTTTCTTTAGCTCAAGTATCACTGTCATGTTTTGTCACCCTAAGAATGTGACTATGTCTTCAGCAAATACAATATTTAATGTGTGGATGGTTTGAATGAATTTATTTTGGAGAAAACTGTGCAAGACTTGCAGGTAATAATTCCATCAGCTGTTGCTTAGATAATTCCCCCAAGACATTTTGGATTTCTGCTTTTATTTAAATGTAAAATTTTTAAAGATATAAGTATGCAGAAAATGAAAAATAGCTTTAAATTTTTTTGAAGTTGTAGATGAATAGAATACCTTTATTTTAGTTATTTATTATGTGGTGCTAAGGATCGAACCCAGTGTCTCATGTATGCTAGGGAAGCCCCAGGCCCGAAAAATAGCTTTTAAGTATGTATTAAGGAAGGGAGGAAGAAGGGGATTACGAAAAAATATCTATAAATTCCCCAGGAGAAACAAATAAGATATAGACACACACACGCACACACACACACGTGTATATATACACAAATAAGTACGAAGTTCAAGTCTGAACAAAAGAAATGCCTTTGGAATTATTCCATAGGGTGTGGATTTAATTGTTAAATTCCAAGCTGAACACTTGTATTCACGAATAAATCTGGAAATATTTAGTCACATAGTTTAATACACAAATTGTCTGGATTATAAACTGTGGATCACTTTCTAAGGTAAAGGGCGTGTTTGTTTTGCATTTTTCAATGTGATTATTCTTTTATTTTATTTTCTTTTTTTTGGGTGGGGGGGTTCTTTTATTCAACCCCAATAAAATAAAAAATTTGGAAGTTAAAAAAAATTCTCCAAGAACCGTATGTTTATGTTTATTGTACTGTGTCTACTGGTTCCAGACCATGTAAAAATAAAGGTCATTCAAATAATGGCATTTCTCTAAATCTTCATGTGTAATAAAATCCAGGTTTCTATTTCTGTTCTTATTCTACAAACTTCATTAATCATCTCCTGGAGTCTGAATTAAGGTCTATTACTCTTAGGGCAAAAAAGGGGGGGGGGTCTTAAGGTTTCACCTTATCCAGCTATTTCAACTTATGCACAGAAGCTGAGCTTTGGAGAATTTGTCTAAATTTCCCAGAGTCACTGGTAAAAGGATCCTCATCTCCTGGTCCTGCCAAGGATCTGTAGACTTAGCCTATGCATAAGCAGTGCTGAGAGTCTGAAGCCATGGGAATAGCTTCTGGTTCACTGCTATCTTACCAACGTGGACCAAAACCAGGTCCCAGGTCAACTCAATTGACCAACTCTTGCTTCGTGCTTCTGAATAAATCCAAGCTCCCCAAAAATCTATCCACTGACTCAGGAAGTTCCACGGTGTCCAGCACAGTGGCACATGCCCATAATCCCAGAGTTTGGGAGGCTGAGGCAGGAGGATTGTGAGTTCAAAGCCAGCCTCAGCAAAAGCCAGGCCCTAAGGCACTCAGTGAGACCCTGTCTCTAAATAAAATTACAAAAATAGGGCTGGGGAGGTGGCTCAGTGGTCAAATGCCCCTGAGTTCCATCCCTGCTACCAAAAACAATATGAAAAAGAAGCTCCAAATAAACTTGACCCTTCTTCCTAAACCTTGTGAATGCTTGGATGTTGCGATGTGGTCTTCACCTGCCTCCTTCCCCTGTAGAAGTAAGCAGCTCCTGAGCAGAGGAGGACTTTGTCACACACACTGAGGGAGACTTAGCTAGGGAGACACTGCGCTCCCTTGCAGAGGGGCTGAGACACTCAGAACTGAAGTCCCTAAGGAGATGTAAGAGACTGGTGATCTCCTGAGACCTGGGAGGAAAGTCACTCTTCCTTGGATCTCCTCTGCTAGTCGTGAGGTCTGCACAGAACAGATATATGTGGAGTGCTTTCAAGTGAAAACGCAAGGATCAGTCCCCAAAGAGACTTCAATGGAAAAAGACAGAAGCCACCTGGGCGAGTCGGCAGACACTGCACCCTGGTGGTCCATGCTCGCCACTGCAGGCAGTTACAGAACACACTGGCTTGTTGCTAATTAGTTCACTGCAGAGGATACAATGGGGCAGGGGGTGTTAGCTAAGGGATGGGAAATTGGGGCAGTTGAGGTGCAGGCCAGAGGCAAGCGGGAACAGAGAACAAATAGATGCTCTCCAAAGCTCAGAACATGCAACTGTATTCCTGAAGGATAAGGCCAAGTTTATTTAGAGGATGAGATTAAACTAAAAAACAAACAAAACACTGAATCCAGAAAAGGATAACATGACATGGAGATGCATGAAGATGAGATAGGAGGGTCTCAAGTTCAAGTTCAGCCTGGACAAATAATGAGATTCTATCTCAAAATACACAGTAAAAAGGGCTGTGGACATAGCTCAGTGTTAAAGCCCCCAGTACCGAGAGAGAGAGAGAGAGAGAGAGAGAGAGAGAGAGAGAGAGGGAGAGGGAGAGAGCAAAAAATACCCAACACTGAAAATTGGGGGGGAGGAATTATTGAATGTCATTCTTTAATCCATTAACCTGAAATATATGACAAACAGATGAAACTTTATGTTGTAACTTTACCCAATTTAGCATAATTGTAACCAAAAAAAAAGATGATACATTTATTTTATGCTACTGAAAATAGGGGTACAAATATCTGATGCCAAGAATGTAAGGAAGATAGTAAGAGGTGTTTATCACAAGGAGGAGAATAAAACAGGAAGTTGACACCTGTCAATCATATGACAGCTGGTATTACTGAAATTTTATCATAGGTTCTCACTAAATATTTATATCCCAATAAGTCAATTGTTAGAGTCATCAAATTTGGGTTTAACTGCAACTCTTTAGAAAAAAAAATATGTATATATAATATGCATACACACACACACACACACACTGGGAATTATACCCAGAGGTGCTTAAACACTGAGCCACATTCCCAGCTATATGTGTGTTTGAGTGTGTGAATTATTTAGAGTCAGGGTCTCCCTAAGTTGCTGAGGCTGGCTTTGAACTTGTGATCCTCCTGCCTCAGCCTTCGGAGCCACTGGGATTATAGCCATGTGCCACTGTACCCAGCTGGAAATAGATTTTTTATTTGAAATTCAGATTTTCTTAGGAATACCAATGACTTAACCAGACATGGTGGCACATACCTGAAATCCCAGCAACTCGGAAGGTCGAGGCAGGAGGATCACAAGTTCAAAGCCAGCCTCAGCAATTTCGCAAGGCCTTAAACAATTTAGCAAGACCATGTCTCAAAATTTAAAAAAAAGTAATAATAATAATAATAAGATAAAATAAAAGGGGCTGGGGACATGGCTTAGTGGTTAAGTGCCCCTGGGTAAAATCCCCAGTACAGAATAAAAGAAAGAAGGATTACTTTGGTAACCAATTACATTGGTTATGATTGAAATGCATTAGATTTCACAGTGTCCTTTTAAGACTCAAGCCCATCTTGGATTATATTATAAATGCATAATTATTAATAAAATCTTTTGAATAAAATCTCTAGAATTCAAAAGGCTTCACTGATTCAGAGGCTGACAACACAAATATTATTAGTGGGGGTTCATTTTTAAGTAATCATTTGAAGTTATTGGGGTCATAGTTTATTTCTAGAACACTCTATATTCCCTTCCAGTATCTCTTCTTAGAGAGTGTGTAAATGCCAGTATCCTGGACACCTAGAAAGTATGGTGAAGACATCCTATTTTACTCTCATATATTATAGAATCTGAACTGCGTAAAAGTTTTGGATTTGAGATGTTGTCGGTGAAATGATGAGTCCATGGATTTGGATTGTGTTTTGTAATAGAGAAGAAATATCACAAGTAGAGAGAATACAGTACAAGCTAGACTTCTACAAACACTAGGGTGTGTTCAGAATGGGCTAGATTTTTAGAGTTCCCAGTATAATTACCCTTTCCTGTAATGGCAAGCCCTTGATATTCAATTTGGGTTTCTAAACAAGAGAAGGAGGAGGAGGAGGAGGAGGAGGAGGAGGAGGAGGAGGAGGAGGAGGAACAGGGTGGGGGGGATGATAATGATGACTAAAAGTGAACTCCTCCTTCCACAAGATTAATGAAAGTTATATTTACTGCTTTCACCCTTTTAGGGACAAAAGGGGGTTGATGAGAACCATTCTCCCTTTGCATGCATGCTTAAAGAGAAATTCTAAAAAGATACTTTCCAGAGCACCTTAAGTAGTTTCTCACTAAAGAGAAAAATGATCAACTCTTCCTCATAAACACATTATTTACATCTTGACAATGCTACTAGCTGTTTTAGGAGTGGCAAGAACAATTTTTTTTTCAGGAAACCTATATTCCTTTGGAGTCCGACAGTTGACATTTTTAATTGCATAATTAATTTTTACATCTTTGGCTTATTTATTTATTTATTTTGCAAGCCTTGCTTTTCTTTTTGAAAGCTTCTTTGGTCTTAACATTCAAGAAATCCGTGGCCAGATTGTTAAAATATTCAGCTACCGTAGTGATGTTCCAGCCATCTGGAAGGATTTTCTGAAACACTCAGCAACTCAGAGTTGCTACAGCTAACAATTACACATGTCTGATTGGTGGAGTTAGTGTGTGCTGGGGAGGAGAGGGGGTTGTAGAAAAATATCCTTGTAGCAGTACGGAGCCCTATCATATAGTCGTTTCAGAGGATGATTAAACTTAGAGGCAAAATAAATCTTTCAAACACTTCCTCTGTGAATATCACTGTGAAGGATTTATTGTCAAAGGCATATATCTCTGATGCCACGGGGTGAACATAGTGCATAGTATTAGACTCCCTCCTATAGTATTAGACTTTCTCCTCTTGCTAAACCCAAGAAAATGGAATTCTCATCTTTGGTTTTCGTCCTTTCTATCACCATTCACCATATCCACTGTGGAGAGGGTTTAGAGACACAGTATGGCTCGGAACAAGGTCATTACAAAATCAATTATCTTAACATTTGCTCGTGAGTGGGATTTGTGTCTGAGTCTCTCTTTCTCCACATTAATTAAAACAACAGACCATTACCTAGGTGTTCCTTGGGCAAACTGAAGCTCTCAGAGGTGAACTTTATTGGAATATTAATGGCAGCCCTGGAGAGAAGATCTAAATGGTAGCCTGGGAGAGCAATCCCCTTTCAATGGCTTAGCCTACGTGGCACTAAATAAGTACAAATGCAGTAATCATTCCATTAATCTGATCAATGCAGTCAACTAAACCATAGATGGAAGGCCTCAGTGTGGTCAGACCCACAGAAAATAGTCTGCATTGGTCAAATTCACAGCAAGATCAGATGATTTGCACTTCTGTCAGCGGGGACAGCCCCAATCGCCACATTGTGTGGCTTCGCTCTTTATTAAGTGGGGTCATCATTGCCTACTTATCTCTGCAAATACAACAAAAGATGATAAAACTGACCCAGCTATCCCACTCCTCGGTCTATACCCAAAGGACTTAAAAACAGCACATTACAGGGAAACAGCCACATCAGTGTTTATAGCAGCACAATTCACAATCGCAAAACTATGGAAGCAACCTAGATGCCCTTCAGGAGATGAACGGATAAAGAAACTGTGGTATATATACACAATGGAATATTATTCAGCATTAAAAGAGAATAAAATCATGGCATTTGCAGGTAAATGGGTGGAGTTGGAGAATATAATGCTAAGTGAAGTCAGCCAATCCTAAAAAAACAAATGCCGAATGTTTTATCTGATATGAAGATGCTGATTCATAATGGGGTTGGGGAGGGGTGGGAGAATGGAAGGATTAGAGGAACTCTAGATAGGACAAAGGGGAGGGAGGGGAAATTGGAGTAGGAAAGATGGTGGAATGAGATGGTCATCATTACCCTAAGTACATGTATGAAGACATGACTGGTGTGACTTTGTGCACAACCAGAGATATGAAAAATTGTGCTCTCTCTATATAATATGGATTGTGATGCATTCTGCTGTCAAATCAACACATTAGAATGTTAAAAAGATGGTAGAACCTCCAATGATCCACACAGCTTGGATTTACAGAGATGACTCCTGTACACTGTGTGTTTTGTGCTTTTGATTAAGAATGAACCTGCGTGCCATACATATTATACTATCTATTCTTACATCCCCGGTWGCAGCATGCTGAAAACCATCAGAACTCAAGATCCATACAACATATGGAATGTCATCCATGCAACATATTGAGAACCATCTCAACTCATGATATGGGTGAAAAAAATGTAGAATTTAGGGTAACGCCATGACAATTTGCCTGGCACTTTCCTTTGGTGAAGAAACTAACGTGCGGAGAAGTGAAATAAAGACACAGAAAATTACAGACGCCACGAGAAGCCAAGTCCAAGTGTTGTTCCAGGCACCATGGAGGATGGTGTGTATCCTAATCTGTCATCTTGGACCTTCCTTCTCATACGGTTTAAGGTTGGGCCTGATCACACCGAGGTTACTATAGAAGTCACTTGTCACATAGACAATGTAGGAGAAGAAGTTTAATGAATACATGAACAAATCACCCACTGAGCTCATCCCTGTCTGTCCTTCACGTGAGACCTTTTCTTGTCCTTTGTCCCTCCCATGTGTCCCTCGCACTCTGGTTTGACAGGTTCATGACAAAATAGAGTGACTGACGTGTATTATAATTCTGTGCCCAGGCTCAAGTAAAAAGCTGGGAATCTTCACCTGTTTTAACACTCCCAGGATATAGTCCAAGCCCCACTCATGGCAGGAATTCTTTCTCTGTTTCAAGTAGAAACTAAAAACCATCCGGGGAAATGTACCTTCGACGATGACACGAAAATCGTGGCTGGCTGTTCCCAGGTCATTGCTGGCCGTGCAGCGGTAACTCCCTTTGTCCTGGTCGGAGACGTTCTCGATCTTCAGGGTCTTGCCATAATTTTCTTTTGTTTCTCTTCCCTTTGGTAAATCGCCAGCCAATTTCGTCCATTCCACCTGTGGAGTCGGTCTGTAATCAATAAATAAAATACATTACAAGATATTTTCCAAATGGGAAAAGATTCCTGTAGGTAGGTTGAGGGAGCCAGAGATTATAGCCGTCTTTCCTGCGGTTAATTTGAAAAACCTGATAAAGTAGGACCCAGGAGAGGGAAGCTGTGACTGTCCCTGTGGTCCCCAAGATGGTGGCATTGGGGAAGATGGGTCAGATGCAGAGCCAAATGCATAGCCCACTCATGCCAGGGCAAATTAAGACTTCTCAGCATGTAAAATGCTAATCCTGTGGCTTTTCCACTCTTTTTTTTGGGGGGGGGAGGGGGATAGCAGGAATTGAACTCAGGGGCACTCAACCACTGAGCCACATCCCCAGCCCTATTGTGTATTTTATTTACAGACAGGGTCTCACTGAGTTGCTTTGTGCCTCATTGTTGCTGAGCTGGCTTTGAACCTGTGATCCTCTTTTCTTAGCCTCCCAAGCTGCTGGAATTACTGATGTAAGCTTTTCCACTCTGAGGGCATGTGGGAAAGGAGGCAAGCATCAAATCTCCCTTGCCCATCACCCCATTAAAACATACGTACAAGCCGGGAGCAATAGCACATGCACACCTATAATCCCAGCAGCTCAGGAGGCTGAGGCAGGAGGATTCCAAGTTCAAAGGCAGCCTCAGTAACTTAGCAAGGCTCTAAGCAACTAAGGAAGACCCTGTCTCAAAATAAAACATAATAAGGGCTGGGGATGTGAGCCCCTTCTGGGTTCAATTCATAGTATAAAAAGAAAAAACCATACAAACAAGACAAGTGGTAACCTGTCACAGACTTTATGTGCCAGGGAGTGGAGACACACTGGTTTAAAGTGGTACAGCACTTGCCTGGCATGTGTGAGGCACTGGGTTCGATTCTCAGCACCACATGGAAATACATAAAATAAAGGTCCACAGGCAACTAAAAAAAATATTAAAAAGAAAAAGAAAAAACCCCTTATTGTGAAAATTGATGGGATTTTTAAACATGGCTAATTTTAAGTGGTAGAGGACAATTTTATGTTATTTTTCCCTCCCCAGTTGGAATACAAAGGGTGAGTGGCAGAAGGTTGATTTGTTATTTCTATTAACATTGCATGGTCTTCCTTACCATCGTCCTTTTAACCACTAAAACCTGAAGGGTTACTGAGTCTGCACTAAACTTGGGTATGGTTATCATCATTTTATCAGTAATGAATCTAAAATTCCACAAAGCTGATTAATTTGCTTAAGGTCACAGGAATAAAAAAAAATGACATATTAGCAGTGCAGTCCATCTGACTCTAATCCTGTCCTTTTTATTACCGTGTGCTTTGCACACGACTCCCTGTCCTTCTTAACTCTATATTCTTAAAATATTTGCTTGCCACCCAATTATTAATTATTATCCATTGGATTACTAATTTAATTATTGCTAGTTAATAATTAAGCCATTACCTCAAATTGCTTCTATCAATTAGCTCAAATTGTTTGTATGCATAGGCAATGGGTAAAATAATTATCATGCAAAAAACCACTGCAGGTTAGATGAAGGCCCTTGATGCACATCTGTTCTCTCCGCCTTCTGTCAAAGCCCAAAGGCTGACATGGATTATGGATTGGAATCAACTACCTTATATTGGACCACGTTGGCGGCACCTGGCACCCGTCCTCAGGAAATTGTAATAATAATGGTCAGAGAGGAACATGAGAGAGCATTAGGCTTTAAGTTCCTGCCCACACACGGAACAGGAGGAGTAGCCCAGGTCTCCTGCCTACTTGTCTTTCTCTCCATCTGTTACGGGGGCAATCTGCCAAGCCCCAGGATGCTCTGGACCTTGGTGCCTTCCAAACAGGAGTTTTTCCTGAGTCTGCTTTAATTGTGCCAGCATCTCACTCTCCACAAGATCTGTTTTACCCCCAGTCGTTGAAGACGACCAGTTTTCTAATACCTTTCCCTCCAAAGAATCTACTAAGCTGATTTTGAGACTCACATGGACGAACATGCAATGTTCTCGAAGGGTGGATTCCAGTCACTTCGAGAATTTCTAGATAGAGTCATACAATTTTTTTTTTTCTTTTTGAACTTCGGGGAACATTTCCTAATAGCACTTGGGCAATGATGTTTCCAGCCATTCGCTTGATTCWCACATTATCCTGAACTGAGTTAGACTTAGATGTACTTTGCAGCTGGGGACAGGCAGGATGCAATCCCAGTCCCCTTTCCCTGAGCTTAGAGAAGTGACTTCACTTCACCCAGAGGGCCCTTGGGTTTCATGTACCTAATGTGCTAATGGGAATAATTACAGTCTCAAAAAGTACTGACAAGAGTAAAATGAGTTAATGTGTGTGAAGTCCAAAACCAAATGCTTGACACAAAATAAGGGCACGATGTCTTGGCTATGGTTATAATTTTGTTACTATGAAAGGTTGGTGGTTTAAACTCCCCAGAAAAAAAAAATAGAGTAAATTTCAAAACTTTTCTTTTTTAAACAATGTGTCACTTTGATCTAGAAAGAAAGAGAACTAGACAGACAGGATGCCCAATGCAAACCTTGCATGAAGAAGAACTACTTTAAGCAAAACCTCTTGGGACAAGGTTTCAGAATCCCCACATCCTGAACATGGAGCATTCTCTTTACATATCGCTTCATGACACTTTAGTTTCTATAAAGCACATGAGAGCATTTCTATTATTCTGAGGACAGTCTGTTCAGTCAACTCAAAAAGTAAATGATGGCATTTGTGAGAGATCAGTGAAAAGAATTATTGGGAGGTTTGCCCCGACCAATCCACAAAAGCTTGAAAAAAAATATAATTGTGACCACTGTAAACACCTACCAATACAACCAAAAAAAAAAAAAAATGGTGGTGGTTACCATCAAACTGAGAGTTAGGGCTGTGACCTCCTAACACAATGCAGAGACCAAATGTCCTAAACTGGGATCATGTCACAGCATATAGTGCATGTCAGAGTATACGGGCGATTTGATTCACACAACCAACCTAGATACATGTTCTGTGTGGAAAGAACAATCTACCAAGTGTAGGATTTCTTGAAGCACTAATTTCCATGCCTTTTCTTTATGATCTAATTTAAAATTAGTCATTTGGAATATACACTGAATAATGAATGAGCGACTTTAAAAATTTCAAATCCTTGTTCAATTCAAAAGACTCCCCAAATCCCATGGTTACAAAACTGATTAAGGTGTAAATGAATAAACCAGGGTGCTGGGGAAGGAAGAAGATCTTTTTCCATGGAATTCCTGGTAGTAGGGAGGGATGGTTCCATGCAGATGGATAGTGGTAGATACAGGTGACCTGGTGTTACCAAATATTAAATAAGAGGGCACCAGTTTACATAGACTTGAGAAGCTAAGTGGTAGGCATTTTCTCAGAGCACAGAAAAAGATAACAGGACACCATCAGTATCAATGAGACCTTCCACAACTCAGTTGTAACATCCTTGCTACTCTGTATATAGAAATAGAATGCCTCACCAGAGATACATCCTGTGGGAAACAAAGAACTCGTAGGTAAAGGACCCTAACAAGAGTATGTAAGGCTATGCCTCCCCACACTTAATGCTAACTAAATGTTCTGGATAAGAATCCACTGAGCCTATGTCGGCACAAATACCCACTGCTTCCTGCTGAATGCCCTGTTGTCCTGTGGTTTTGTGGGAGAACCCTGCAACAGTTACTCAGTAAATATAACAACTCCAAGAGATGACCAAGCAAGGCCCCTTAGGGTTTTGGTGGAGGAATTGGAAAAGTGTATTGCTTTTTGAGCTCATGGGGTTTTGACATGAAACTTTCTTGAATTCCATGGTCTGAACCTGCTTGTGTCCAAAGGGCAGTGGGATAGAATACCAATAAATAGGGGTCCTTGGAAACAAGAAGGGGCAGAGCTGGCACTGTAACAAACAGAAGTGGGACCAGCCAAGTGAGCAAAAAGGGCAAACCAGGCCCAGGAGGACCAGGGCTCATGGCTAGCAACCTCACGCTGCAAGGTGCGCAGCCGTCTTAGACCACCGGCTTAGGTAAGGGGAAGGCCACCTTTGTCCTCTCCATTCACAATATATCACCAATTAACACAGAGGTGTGATGACAAGCCAATTTTGGTCATGGCCTCAAGTCTGCAGGGTGACGTCCAAGCCACTTCTTTGAGACATTTGGTAACCAGGGTTATTTTAAAGAAAAGAAGCGAAGCATTTAAAATCGTGCATGCAAGCACATTTCTTCAGGGAGTGGACCAAGTCCCAAGCAGGAGCCAGGGTACTCACAGGCCCTCGGCGAAACACTCCAGCAGCAGGGTGTCCCCTTTGAGGACAGGCACTGAAGACTCGCCACCACTCTCCGGGGGAGGCAGTAGCAGCCTGGGCTTCCTCTGCTTGATGGAATTGGCTACAAAAGAGAAAAGAAAAGTCAGACATTTTCAAAGGCAGATAGTTAACACTCTGTGGCAATCTAGGTAGGTGTGTGTGCCTATGCATGTGTACACACACATCTATGTACAGACACACATTTCTATGTCCTTGTGGAAACAGACTGCCCTCCCTCTTTGCAGAAAGCGTGGGTTGTCCCTGAGATGTGCTAAGTGCAACGAAAAGTTGTATAAATGTTATGACTTACACCACGTCATCTAATTCAGAAAATCAGCACTATTCCAATAATTTCTCGACGAAGCCCTTAAGTTAATTGATAGACTCTGATTTTATATTCTGCACTTTAACCAGGCTGTGCCATGCTTGATGGCTATATGTTCTTATTTAAAAAAAAAATTAATGTGCCAAAGTATTTGATAAGGTTTCTATTGAAATACACCCTTCCTGAGCGCTGAATTCAGAATTCTGATGGAAGGAGACTAGGGCCTTGCTAAGTTGCTGAGGCTGGCCTCAAACTTGTGATTCTTCTGCTTCAGCCTCCTGACCTGCTAAGACTACAGGTGTGTGCCACCACACCTGGCTGAAAAGATTTCAATTCAGTGTTAGAAGATATAGAAAAATATACGTTGAAGTTATTGATCGCCAAGAAAACAACTGCCGACGAATCAGCCCACCTTAACACTGAGGGTATGCCAAGGGGGGCCCTCAGCCACCTCTGCTGATATCACCAGTGTATTAGAAATTTGAATTCAGTCTCTAGTCCACGTGATACGAGGACTACACATTGCATTTCTATAAATGATTCTTCTCACCTTAGAAAACTAGTCCACTCTCTAATTAAGCCTGAGACATCCTACACTGAACACAACTTCTGATGAATGATCTATGGAAACAAATAAAATTAAAGATTCCGTAGATAAATGAGTGGGGAAATTATTTCCAACTATATTCTTTCTCAGAGAAGCACCATGCATAATGGCCTATTAAGTATTTTATGAAGTCTTACAGGAAAAACAAAACGTGCATGTAACACAGTGTTTCTCTATTTCTCTTGACGCTTAGCTTTATATAAAGGAAGGGAAGAACTGAATGGCTATCAACCTCATAGACCAYGAGACATTTTGAGAGGTCCCAAATAATTATTCCATCAAATATATACATTATACTATAGCTATCTATCTGTATGTTACTTCTATTAGTTGTAATTTTTGCAGATTTATAGAGACAATTCCTTTTGCATGTAAGAAGAGAAGGCAGATAACTATACCCTCTATGCTAGTCCCTTAATAAGAATATTACCATTTTAATAAACTCTTGAAGGTAGTAAAGAAAAAAAATTCAAATTCTGAGATGAAAATGAGCTACTTTAGGTAAAAAAAAAAAATGAGAACAGTCTATACATGCCAAGTTCGACTTACCCTTGGAACTAATTTCTGTGGATGAACTTGAATCATTAGCATGCTTTACTGAAATATAAAAAAAAAATATGGAAGAAAAGAAAACACATACATAATGGAAGATGCTGATATCAAGAAAGAATGAAAAATCAGATACTTTTATGTCAGGAAAATTACAACATGAGGTCCAACCAGGCTTCACTAGAACATTGGACTAGAGGTTTACATGGAAAAAAAGGATTTAAGACGTGCTTCCTCTTGAATCACCAAACGTTAATCCAGTTGGGGAGGATACAAGTCACAGCTGCATTAAAGAGAAATTAGGATCCTCAAAAAAAAAAAAATGTTGTAGTGAAGCCTGGCACCGTGTGCATTCATACATAATCACGAAAAACTCATGTACCAAATTAAACAATGGGATGGTGATGCCAACTTTCCATATACCAGGGCCAATTATGCAGTCAGGGAACTGTTGGGGATTATCTCTTCCCTTTGAATCTTACGGTTCTTCCTCCCACTAATTACTTTTTTCCCATTTGGGAACCCAGACTGGCATCTGCAGAATCAAGTAGGAAAGAAGGGGCCGATTGGAATAACTTTTGCCAATTTGGTCCGAGGACAAAGAAAAAGCTTGATGTGATGGAAATGTTAATACCAGACTCTTTGTATTTCTTGACTCTGTGTTACGTTCTCTCCCATTTTCAGCCTGCTAGTTTATCCAAGGTCACGGTCAATCAATGCCTGAGACAGGCTTAGGGGAGGAAAAAAAAAAAAGAAAGAAAACCCTGGGATTTCACTGTGCATTTCAGCCACTGAAAATGCCTGGATCCTGCAGACGTCAAATGAAACACATTTGTACTGTGAATTGAGATTTGATTTTTTTTTTTTCTGGCTGCCAGAGACAGAGCTACTGTGGACCTGCAGCTGCAGATGTCTCTTTCATCTGCATGCAGTCTCTAGAGTTGCACTCAACAATGATGGAAAAGATCAGCCTGTCTTTAACTGTCTTCACTCAGGATGAAATTATACACCGTATTTGCATTCAGCGCACGCGATGCCATGATAGATTATTTGGACTTACAACTGTTCACTGTGAGCTTCATTGGCATCTTTTGTACGATCGTCCTTAGTCTTGGGAACGCGGCAAAGCAACAATAATCGTTGCGACTGTCTTTTTCTTCCACGTTTGCAAAGTACAGATCTCCCTTTTGGCTCATGTATACTCTCTCATCTTGTTCGATGTGTTCTAATTCTGAAAAGAAATACCTTATCATCAAAGAGGGGGATGGTGCTACTTCATCATTTTTATTTCTTGACTTGATTTTTCTTATCTTTTTTTTTATTGGTTTGATTTTTCTTATGGACAAGAAATCTGTGCATTCAAATTCTTCTTACCCTCTAGGTCTCTCTACCTGTGCTGTGCTGGTTGACAATGGCTTATCCAAAACCCGATCAATTGAGATCAAGGTCTACTTCTTACTTTCATTTGCTTCAGATGGTATTTCTTTAAAACAGAGCTCCCCCCAAAACTGATGTCTATAATATTAACCTCCCTGTCCTGGAGGTAGCCTGGGAGGTTCCAGTGTGACTGGAATGTGGAAATTTTGACGGCAGCCAGGAGTAGCTTCATTTGCTACCTCCTGAGTGCTGATCAGATATTTTTCTCTGTGGGCCACAGTGAAAAGCACATCCAGGAAGACGGCTAAGGCTCACTAGACGTGGCCTCTACAAGAGCCTGAGATTTCAGATCGAGAGTCAACAAGCCTTTTAGAAAATTGAGCACCAAGGTGGATACTAAATATGCTGTGCGTCACTGCGTTTAGCGGGTAGAACATTGCTCACAGAGACAAAGGAAACCAGCAACATAATCAAGTCCTCCTCCACTCTAGCATGGCCTATCTACCAAGGGTAGACCAGTTGTTTTGAAATATGGAAACTATCCTTTTACAGACATACTCAGGCATCTGGATAACCTCTCCTCTTTGAAATATGATAAAATTGAGAGATACCTTTAGTACTTTTCTAGTGTTTTCCAGTGCACTCTGTTCAGTATGTATTTAGAATGAGGGACAAGGTTTCATTGGACCTCATTTTACAAACCTACTTGAGTCGACATGGATACTGTTATAAGAATATTTTATTTTTTTGGATTTTTTATGTGATTTCCATGATGCATGATGCCCCCCGGGGACAGAGCATTACTTACCTATATTCATCCAATAAATGTGTAGGGGCGGGAGACCTTTAGGAGGAGTACACTGGAGGACGATAGGATCTCCTTCCTCCACCTCCAGAGGCTCAATTTTTTCTTTGGGAAATTTGGGAACACCTGGTATGAAGATCATTTTAAGACATTACTTCAAAATGAGCTTTTCGTGTCAGCTAATATCTTAATAAATTGTCCATTTTTAAAAAATATATAAACATTTTTAGGACACTCAACCCTTGTTCTGACATTTGCCCTATAGAGGTAAGCACTAGAAAGATTCTGATACACATTCTCATGCAACTTTGCAAATCACTTCTGCACTGTGAAGTCCTAGAGAAAGATATTTTTTGCTATGTGACATCAATAAGGCAAAAATACACCTGTACATATCTTTCAGAGCAGGGGTACAAATTACAGGGTTTGTTCTTTTTAGTTTTGATAGACATGGACTCTTTTCTTTCCAAACACTGCGATTTCTTTTTTGGCCATGGTGTATTCTCTAGCTCTTGCTTTAGTGCAAAGGCCTTGAATGTGATTGGTAACTATTCCATTCAGAGTAAAAACCACATCAAAAAAAAAAAAAAAATTTTTTTTTCAAAGCCCATGTGGGAAAAATCACAAAAACATAATGAAAAAGTCAAACAGGACTACTTTAAGTTGCAAAGAGAGCCAAAACCACCTTGGAATCACTCCAGTAAATGAAACCTTAAATGAAATGGAATTGATATATATAGAAAGGAAACTTTCTAATATTTCCACCTATGGTCTCCTTCTCATATTGAAGTCAATTACCTGCAAGAACAATCCAGTTACAATGGGACTATAAGTCAGAACTGCAGAATGTGAAGCACAACATCGATGTTTAATATTGTTCTGAGTATTTACAGGGATATTCAAAATGCATACTGCCTGGATATTGTATGGGTGCCTTTCAACTTTCTTGAAATTTGCATTCTAGAGTTAGGCAAACTCTGGTGGAGAAAATTACCCCATGAAGGAATTAGTAACAGTCCTGCCCTGATGGAATTTATTACCAGGTTTTCCCATTGTTATCTTTTTTGATTAAGTTGTGATTCACAATCAATCCTTCTTTTTCTTGGAAATCCAAAGCCCTTCTTATTATTGCGGTCTCTTTTGAGAAGCTTTGTGCATTTCCTGTACATTGTCATGCATCCCTTCAAACTCAACCCCAACTCTTGAGTCGTTGAGGGTATTTGCTGACATTTCTCTTATGGGTGCACCGGCTGTTTACAATAAATTGCTTTCTGTCTAAATTCAGGGGCCTTTCAAAGCTTAGCATTGCAGGAGGTTACTGTGGGGTTACTGCAATGTCTCTGCAATTTGGGAAAAGCATACTTTAGTTCTCTTTCTAATTCAGCCGTGCCACAGTGCTTCAGTAGATGGATTCCCTCTTGATCAAATCATCCGATCAGATGTCTCTTGGAAACATATTCGAAATGACGAGCAGCTGTGAATCATGCTTCTGGGACAAGTAGCACAATATTCCCACTCCAACTACATTCAGTAAACTCACTCTGTTAAGATCCTAGGTAGAAAATATCATTGGCAGCTACTGGGTCAAGCATTGGCTTCCATGGAAGGCTAATGTTATTCAAGTCATTCTGAAGGAAGAACATCTTAGGCCAATAAGATGTAGCAACTAATACAAAACTGTCAGGTGCCCAGGGCTTCAAATGCAAATCACCTGTTTAGTCTTACTTGCTATAATGGAAGTTCAAAACATGCACACTGCTCCATTAGGCAACTGTTTAATCTGTTTAAACTCAGTTACAAAGAGCAAAAGAGGCGAGGCAAAGTAGATCAGAAAATGGAAGGACAGTAATAATCCTCCATAATAAGCCGACTTTACAAGGCTTAATGTAAATACACAGGTCGCTGGATGATATCTACAGGAAAGTAGATAATTAATAAACTGCATCAATACCTAATTGGAGAACTGATTTCTCAGAGCATTCAGGGAAATTTAATGATTCAGAGAGTGCAACTAGGGAAGCTCAAACACACCCTCATTAATTAAATGTAGATTATAAAATTCTAGTTATAAAACTGTAAATATGTAACCCAACTAGCTTCTAAAGCATCAATAATGAAAAAGGAAAGGAGAGAAAATTTATACATCTACCAAACCCTTTTACACAGGCCATAAATCTTTGAGACAGCTTTTAACTAAAGACGAAATTAGTATCAGGAAAAAAGGAAAGAATATTTATATATTTATTAATTAAAGTTTCAGAAGGAACACGGTAAAGGAAATTAATTTGTCAGGATGTTTTAGGTCTTACTTGACTTTGAAACTACTGAGTCTGCTGCTACCCTCAAAAGTGCAAAAGTTTAATATTCATGGATAAATGTTAGACTCAATTAACATAATGCAAGAGTGAGCACAGAGTCGATCTCAATTCAAAGGAAGACATGACTCTATATAATAACAAGTCAAATAGCCGGGCGCACACCTGTAAATCCAGCAGCTCAGGAAGCTGAGGCAGGAGGATTGCAAGTTCAAAGCCAGGCTCAGCAACTTAGGGAGGCCCTAAGCACCGTAGCGAGAACCCGTCTCTAAATAAAATATAATTTAAAAAAAAGGACTGGGGATGTGGCTCAGTGGTTAACTACTCCTGGGTTCAATCCTGGTACAAGAAAAAAAAAAGTCAAGCCACTAACTAATTGTGCTTTTCTTGTGACATGCATTAATTAGCATTATTGAGTGTGGACAGATGAGACTTTAAAAAGTAAATTGTAAAACAACAATTTTTGTGTGTGTGATGCAACTACAGTGCTCTGGCTTGCCAATATATTTCCAAGGGGAACTCCACCAACATAAAAAATCATGTTTTGGAGGGTTTTTTTTTAAATTTATGTACAACAGCGGAATGCATTACAATTCTTATTACACATCCAGAGCAGAATTTTTTTTATATCTCTGGTTGTATACAAAGTATATTCACACCAATTTGTGTGTTTCTACATGTACTTTGGATAATCATGATCATCACATTCCACCATCATTTGTAACCCCATGGCCCCTCCCTTCCCCTTCAACCCCTCTGCCCACTGGACGTAACCATGAACGCCTTACTCTACATCAGTATCTACCAAAGCAGGACTTACAGAATGTCCACAAATCCCATCAACCACGTCCAGATGTTTCCTTTCCAAATAACATCAAATCAGCTCATCAAGCACATGGCAACTTCTGTCTCCGGAATGTTCTCAAAGGGGCTGAGAATGAAGTCTAGTGAAGAAATTTCTAGGAACCACCCCAAGAATGTAAGTGACACTTCAATATGTTCCTGTCGGGCTTCTTCATAACTTCCCCCTTGGTCTCCTTCAAGCCCAGCACACCTGTAAATACGAATTCTGTGGGAGTTGAGTTCTAAAACTTCAGGTGCTGCCAGTGAGCTCTGAAAACTCATCGTCTTGATTCTCTCAATCCAACATACAGAAAAAAAAAATGACCTCTTTGTATGGAAATAGAGAAGGCTTTGACAAAAATGTTATATCTAGAAGATATGCCACAGGATAACGTGGTTTCTAGCCTGAGCAGTGCTCCCTGTACCATCTCACTAATAACTTTAACTTTCAGGGAGTTTCAGTAGAATTCACACCTGTGTCACTTGGAGGTAAAAGGAATTGGTGGCTTCACCACTACCAAGTTATGGAACACTGCAGATTTTCTTGGGCTTTAAAGAAATAAAGTCAAAGGTTTCCCTGCTATTTGATTCTGTTATTCTACTACCAAGCTACTTTTTCAATCACTGAGCCACATTTCAAAAATATATATATATATATATATATATGTAATTATATATATGTATACATATACATATATATATATATATACATGTATATATATGTATGTATATTGTTGTTGTTGTTTTGAGACAGGGCCTTGCTAAGTTGCTTAGGGCCTCCCTGAATTGCTGAGGCTGGCTTTGAACTTGTGATCCTCCTGCCTCAGCTTCCTGAGCCACTGGGATTAAAGGTGTGGGCCACCATACCTGCCCCTAGCTATTTTCAAGGAAGCACATCTTTCTGCATAATTAGAGCATATGTAACCTGCACCATCAGAGTAGACGGTGTATAACACCCTAAAGCATCAAGTCACACCTATGAACTCTGAAGTCAGTATCTTTGGGTTAAGCGCCACCTTGGTCCTTGAATTTTCTTAGGTAATATGCTTCAGTTTCCTCATTTGTAAAATGCAAAACACAGTGACACCTAACTCACTTGATTTGTGTCAAAGTTTAAATATCATATGTCATGTGAACCAACTGAAATGATCCCTGGCATTTCAAAAGCGCTCAATGTACATGGTAACTATTCAGATACTGCACCTTTGCAGGGTACACACAGCCATATGCCTAGAGATGAGACCAGCAAAGGACTGGAGGGCTCTCCTTGGCTGCTGCCCTGGATGCTCCTTGTAAGCCTGTATTTTAACAACTTTGGTGATTTTGTACAGATAGTTGAAAGAGGAAGTGGAGAGGGGAGGGGGGGGGTGGAGATTGCATATTCCCTGCACAGCCTATGATTTATTTATTGAATTATTTCCCCCTACCCATCCCTGGGCTAATCTTTCTCTGCCAAAGAGCTCTAGCTATTTTGACTTGCGTCTCTGTTTACAGAACTGGCCTGGTGAGCTTTTGAGTGCCATAGATTTTGCTTCAATGTGCTTGGCACACGGCTTCTAGCCCGCCGTCATTATCATGAATGCAGGCTACTGAGCTTGCGGGCTGAATTTCCCCCCCCACCCCCAGCTGTAAGGAGATTTAATTGATTCCCATTTCCTGTAGAGTACCCCATTAATCCACTTAGGACTGCAGTCTTCCTTTCAGCCCATGAGCTTCTAATGAATCCCCGCCGAGGAAGGACTCCAAGGCAGCCCGCTTCACGCCCGTCATGAATGAGTGCAAAACCCTCAGCCACAGTTAAACCCTCAAAATTCAAAGTTGTCCTCTCAACTGAGCAAACCGATGGTCTTTGGTGGGTTTGCACATGTTAACAGACTTGTGTTTTTTTTTTTTTCTTCTCCTACCCCTCCCAGGCCAGAATGGTAAGAAGCCCAGGTTTGGTCTTAAGGTACATTGTCCTGAGGAATT